CTGCTTGGTCATGAAGCCAAGGGTGGGGGGACTTGGGGCCAGCCACCGACTCTCAGCCCAGCCTACCTCACAGGGTCGTGCAGATAAGATTGCGAGCAGGAGGCGGCGAATGACGAAAGCCACTCTGTGTTTAATTTTTCAGTTTAAAAAAAAATCTGCTTGGGTGTATTCTGCGGATGGTCAGACACCTTTGCTTCCATTGTTGAAATCAGGTTTGCTTGCTTGCTTGCTTGTTATGAGAATGCACATTTGTGCAAAAGTGTGTAAGGCGGCGTGCGTAAACTGATGTGCATTATTCAGGCTGAGGTGCAGTGACACAAAGGTGCTGGATAGGATGAACGTCAGTCTGATCCAGCAGGGCTGCTCTTTCTTAAATTAAAGCTTTCATACCCCGCCCTTCATTGTGTCCTAGGACAGCGCTACAATAAAATACAGTAAAGTATAGCATCCAGATTGTCTCCAGAGTGAGACGATTCCAGTTTTGGGGCCACCACCAGCCCAGACCTTGCCCAGGTAAGCTGGGGCCATGAGTTGAGTCTCCAGTGCTAAACGGGTGGGTAAAATCAGATGGGATCAGAGGTACCCTGTCCCCCAGCTCATCCAGAAGGCCGGCACTTCGAATTATGCCCAGAAAGAGTGCCAGTGCAGAAGATGCAGACAGAGATGGCGAGCAGGAAGAGGAGGAGGATGTAAGCCACTCTGTGTTTTTTATTTCTAAAGATATATATCTTTAAAAATAAATAAAGCCCTGTTCTCTCAGTCCCAGATGATGCTGGTGATGGCAGCGACAGTAAACTGGGCAAGAGATGTGAGCACAGACTTCCTCCTGTGCGCACGTGTCGTTTGCACATGTCATCACGGGTTATGCGCTCCTTAGCACTCAGTGTGGGATTGAGCTGCGCCCCAAAGCACCTCATCTTGTCCTGGGATACTTCCAAGGCACCACAGTGCTAAGTCAGAACCAGGGGAGCATTGCTGCTGAAAATCGTGCGTGGTGCTACTTCTGCACTCACGGCTGTGCGTGGACGATTGGTGCTCCAGGTGGCGTTTGCCAACATTTCTTTGTCAAGGGGCAGCGAGAGTGTTGGGCTGGGGCCCCGGGAGATCCGGATCCTACTCCCCACACAACCACGATGCTAACTGGGTGACCTTGGGACTGTGACTCTCTGGAGGCCTGATGCACCTCACCGGGCTGTTGTTGAGAGGATGCAAAGGGGTGCAGGAGGACTGTGCAAGCTGCTTTGCAAAATGAAAGAAATGAGATTGAAATGTAAATGCAGCATTTCTTGTTCCTCAGCCTGCAGAGCCTTGCTCTGGCCAGTCTTGCTGCTGTGGGTGCAGCTGCAGGAGCCCTGGTTCTGGTTCTGGTGGCCATGCAATTGGAGGAGAGTTTCTTTCGCCTGCTCCTGGGCTGGTGACGTCAAGCCACGGTGACGAAGGGAAGCTGCACCCGTGTCCCGCCGTCACTTCTGTGCCGCTGCAGAGGTCCAGCCGGCATGGGCCTGGGCCAAGGGCTGGCAGGCAGGCAGGCAGTGGCTAATCGTCTGAAGACCCCTGAGCGATCGGGTGCTGGCGGCCGAACAAGCTTGCTTGGGGGGTGCGTCCCAGGGATGTGGAGGATGCTGGTTTGGGGAAAGTCTCTGCTGTGCCGTGACTGTGCCTTTACGCGCTACCAAAGAATAAGAAGTGATATTGTGCCTGGTTGGTTGACTTTGCCCTTGTCGAAATTAATTCGCAAGATTGCCCCGTTGGAATCGGCATAGCGAATGCTAGGAAGTGGGTCTGTGGTGATGCCCTGGTGGGCGCTCTTGTTTCGGTGTCGTTTTTGGGTTCCTTAGTTGCACTGGGCATTGCTTTGTGGAAAAGCAGCATAGAAACCCAAAGGGGAGGATGACTTGTCTGTCTGTCTGTCTGTCATTTCCGGCCTTTTTTGCGTAAAAGGAACCCAAGGCAGCATCCCATAACCCTCCTGTCCGGTTTGTTTGCACAAGCCAGGGAGGCAGGTTGAGAGCTTGCGCCTGGGCCAAAGTCTCCCAGTGAACTTTGGGCCCAAGTGGGAACTGGAACCCAGCTCGCCCGCGTCTCGCTCTAACCACTGCACCACAGGGCCTCGGACAACAGTGACGGGCGCGTTCTGGATCGGGGCACCTGAGCAGCAGCTCTCGGGCAGGTGCCTTGCTTCCAGCTCACCCGCTGCAGCCTTCTTAGGGACCCGCCGCCTTGAGCTGGGCCAGGCCTGGCTGCCCGAGTCGGACCCGGTCCCGCTGCGCCAGAACGGGCGCCGCGTAGGCCGCCCGAGCGTCCCGCGTTGCCTCTCGCCCGCGGGGCCGGGCGGCGCGGCGCGTCTCCATCCACAGCTCGGGATTCTCGCAGCAGCCCAAGCCCGGCCCTCCGGAGGCTGCGCCGGTCGCTCATTAGCTGCAGAGCCGCTCCTGAAACCAGACACCTGGCTCGGGCCAGCCCCCAAGAGCCGAGTCCCCGCGGCCATTTAAAAGGACAAGGGCGCTCCTGTGAGAAGCACCTCTCCAGCATCCCTCCCCGCCCGGCCTCGCCCCAGCCAGCCCAGCATCCGCATCGCCGCCTCCTCCCTGGACTGGACCATCGCAGCATCCCTTGGACCACCTGAGGAGGCCCGGGCCACCTTGAGAGGGGCCAAAGATGGCCGAAGAGCTGAGCGGGGGACCCGGGAGCCTCTAGGGCGCGTCGCCTGAGCTCTGGGATCGAGCGGGGAAAGACCGACGCCGCGAGGAGGGAACCCAGCGGCCCTAGAAGAGCTCCAATGGTCGCGGCTGGGCCTCGTGGCTGCGCCCTGACTCACCTGGCTGCAGAGTAAGTGCACCGCACCGCACCTGGGGCGATAGGCGATGCGTGTCCCGCCAGCCTAGCCGCGCTCGCTTTGGGGTCACTGACTCGTGAGTAGGCGCACAGCGGCGTGAGGGGACGTGGCTCCGAATGCCCGACACGCCGTTGCAAATTACCCTTAAACCATCCCAGGTGTGTGCTGCGGCGGGGGGGGGGGAGTCGGAATCGCCATCCTTGCCCATGCTGTCCCTTCTTGCATTTTATCCCCCTCCCTCCTCCCCAAAGCTTCGCCGTAGATTCTGCCTCGTGGCTGCCTCGTGGCTTTTTTATTTTTAAAGGCACTTCCAACAGGTATGGTCACTTTTGCAGGTAATGAGGTGCGGCCGAGCAACCCGGGGCAACTAAGTTCTCCCTCTGTCCGCCCCAGCGAGGGGCTTCCTTAGCTATGCAGCCTTCTGGAGTGGTTTCCCCCCACCCCCTGCCTCCCGGCATCCCCAACTCGGAGCGTGGGGAGGATAGGCGTTGTAGTCCATCCGGTGCGGGCGCCAAGTTGGACGGGAGCCGTTCTGAAGGCATCACGTGTGTGATGGTGTATGTGCTTGCTTGGAAGTAACCCAGCGGCTTAGGGTTATGCCTAAGAAAACGTGCGAACGGCGGGTAGCGAAAGCCACGATCGGATTAAAGCAGCAGCCGTTCTTCTCTGGGTTCCTCCCAGGGCTGGGAGCTTGGAGATGCAGTTTAACTCAGTTTATCTAGGAACCGCGAATAGGCGACCCCCGCACCTTATTTTGATGTCTGGAGAGGTTCTCTCCTTGTGGTCCAGAGGAATGTATTGGATCAACGGGAAATTGTCTGTATTGTCTATTTTTTGGGGGGAGGGGGAATCTGGCGTTCGTTAAGTTCCAGGAGAACTTGGGGTACCTGTGTGCATCCCCCGAACCTCCTCCCCGTTCCAGAGAAGGGGTTGGTGCAGGAGAGACGCTGCTGGAAGTGCAGCCAAGCACAGTGAGTCCCGCTGGACTCACTGGACCCCCTCCCCACGCAGGATGCATGTTTCTGCACACCTGCCTTTAAACGGGCGGGTGGGGAGAGAGCTTCAATGGCCTCCAGAACGCCTCTTTTTCCAGGGGTGGTGCAGACGGAGGCTGGGGAATCTTTCGACCGTCCAGTTCTGAGACGCGGGCTCTGCTCTGCCTTGGCACCCTCCGGACTGCGGCTCCCATCCTCCGTGGCCAACGTGGCCCGCGCCGGCTGGAGATGATGGGGGTTGTAGTCCTGGAGGGCGCCAAGCTCGGGCGCAACGCAGCGCGGCTGGCGTTGACATTCCCGCCTCGAAGCAAGTCCGCCGGTTCAACGTGCTTGGGACGGCGAGCTCGAGCGGCCTTTCCCACCACCGGGGCGGCGCGGCCGCATCCCGGTCCGCTCCGGAGTCGGTCCTCTTGCACGCGGCGGGGCTTCCCGCGGGCACGCGTGGGCGACGCGGCCCCCGGGCTGCCGAGGGCGCGGGGCGAGGAGCCCCTTTCCCCGCAGGGCGCGCGGTGCCTTGTTTTTCGCCTGCCCCGAAGGTCCCGCGCGCTGCCTCCCTTCCCGCACTAGGGGGCAGCAGAGAGCGGCGGCCGGGCGCCCCCAAACTTTTTCTCCTGCGCGCTCCCCCTCCGCTGCCTTTTCCTCTCTCCTGAGCCCAGAGGCGGAAGGCTTGCCTCTCGCCCTGCAAATGCGGGACCGCGACCCATGCTGGCCCCGCTCCGCCGCCGCCGCCGCCGCCGCGCCAGCCTCGCCCGGCCTCTCGCCCCCGGGCAGCGTCGCGGGGCACTAGGGGCAGCGTCCGCGCGGAGGGGGGCCCCGCGCCTCCATGGCACTCGCGCCTGATCCGTGAGGACGAGCGGGCGAAGCCCAGGCGGGCCGGCGGCGCGGGCGAGCGGTCCCGGGATCATGCGAGATCCGCGCTCCCCGGCGCCGTCTTCCTCTTCTCCCCGCTTCTCCTCCTCCAGGCACTCGCGAGCGGAGACTTAAATGGGCGTCGGAAAGCGGCTGCCAGCGAAGAGAGGAGTCCGCGGAAGAGAGCGAGAGAAAGGCAGGCGAAGAGCGGGGGAGCCGGCGGCGGCGCGCCCCCTTCCCCCCCGCAGGGCTGCGGAGCCGAACCCCGCCGTCGGCGGAGCCAGTCGAGGGGGGCGTCTCGAGGGAAGGATGCACCCCCGGGTCGGCTTTCTGCGCGGTCACTGCGAAACAATGCGCTAAGGGAGCGGGATGAAGCTGGCGTCGGAACCGCTCCTCCAACTCAAGGCAGCGGCGGCGCGGGGGTGAGTGCGGAGCCGGCGCGCCCTGGGGGGAGCGGGGGCGGCCGGGGCGGCCCTGCGGGGGGGGGGGTGTGCTGCGGAGGGGGCGCCTGGCCGCGAGGAGCGTGCCGAGGGGGCGCGTGTGCAGAATGTGGAACGGGCTGGTCCTTGCTTTGGGGTTCAGGACAGCGGTGAGGACCCCCATCCTACTCAGGATGGGCTGACAGAAAGAAGAGAAGCTGGAACTGGGAAGGTGGACTCAGACTGTGCAGCTGCTGGGGGGGGGGCAGAGGAAAGGGGGAGCCGAGGATGGGGGAACCCAGCAGTAGTGGCAGGGGCAGGGGGGTCTCTGGTGGAAGGTTTTCTCTTCTTGCTGCCTGGGGTGAGGAATACCAGAGTGGAAGGAAACCCCTCCGATGTACAAAGCTGGCTGGGCGTGTGTGTCAGAGGAAATAGGATACAGGGCTGGGCGCCCCATTGCTCTGTAAAAGAGGCTTGAGGGAAGTACAGAGCATCTCTGACATGTCTGTTGCCCCCCCCCCCCCGCTGAGAAAACCACAAACAAACCAGTCGGGAAAGTTCTGACCCCTCCCCCGTATGTTTCTTGAAAGTGCCTTCCTCCTCCCACGGAAGCCTTGAGCTGCCCCATAGGGACCGGGGCTGGCAGCGAAGGGTTAAGTCTGCTTCCTGCGTTGCTGCATATGACAATGATTTGCAGACGCTCCCTGGGTTGTGATTGTGCTTTAGGGATTCACCCTCTGCTGGGGGGGGAGCGGGAAAGGAAGGCGTTTAGTAGCGCAGGATCAGGCCAGTGGACAAGGCTGCGGTGCGGCCACCGCCCCCAAGTGGCAGAGCAGGACGGCTTCCGTGGGTGGCTGGGAGCAGCTCCCCGAATCCATGATGTCTCCCAGCCACGGAGGCTCTTGGCTGGTGGTGGCCGACGGACGCCTAGTGCAAGAAGTGCCAGGGTCGCCACAGCGTCTTGGGTTAAAGAGCCATGCAGGTGTGGCGGGAAACCTACAGATGTCTGGAGAGCCCTGCCGGGTTAGACGTTCTCCTCCTTCCGGTGTTCGGATTAGGAGCTGATGAGTGAGGGCTTCAGATCAGTGGGAGGATTTCTTGACTCTGCCAAGTGGAACACAGAGCGGGCCCTCTTTTGGACAGCTTGAAGAGGGAATTTGAGGCGTACCTGGAGGACGAAGTGGCTGTCGGTAGCCGCTTGTCCTGAGGGCCGCATGCAGCTTGCAGGATCCAAGGTGGGAAGCCTGCATGCACCAGCCGCCGGGGAACGTGGCATCTGCCACGAATGTTTCTGGACCCCCCCCTTTTATGCCCTCCCAATTGGTGGCACATTGCTATGGATGCGAACGTAGAAGTGAGGCCTGCAATGGAAGCAGTGCTGCCGTGCACCTCGCAGTAGTGAGGAAGGAGGTGTCCAGGTGAGCAGCAGGCACAGGTGCCTGCCCAGGTGCTCGCGCTGGGTGTTCTCCCAACCTCTTAGGCATTTTTATCTTTAAACTGGGCTTGGATCGGGCCCACTTCCCGTACAGGGTGCCTCTGAGTAGACCACTGTGCTCCCGAGAACACAAGATCTTGCTGGATGAGGCCGAGTACCCAAAACACTGGAGAAGAGCAGAATGCAGCAGGACGTTTGTGAGGGGAGGTCTCGATCCTGTGGGACGCTTGTAACCCAAGGGGCTGGTAGCTGAGGGCAGCGCCTGAGCTCAGCATGCAGAAGGGTCCTGTCTCAGTCCCGTTCCCCTGAAAGGCCTTCCCAGAGCCATGTCCTGGGTGTGCAAACCCAGAGGGGAGATGAGGAGGGGCCCATGGTTGCACCTGAAGGCCCCAGGCTGGATGCCCATCACCCCCAGCCTGGACCGCCTTGGGCGCTGCCGTCCGATGCTTCAGCACATCGGGCAAAGCTGGAGCAGTTAAAGCAGGGCTGCGTCTTGTGGTTTGCGCGTGTGTTTTGGGAAGGGAAAACTGATATTCTCGGAGCCGCCGTGCCAAGTCAGCACACGGCCGGGAGGGAAAGAGCCAGGCGGAGCCTCCGCAAGAGCGCTTCCGACATGCCTCACGTGCTCCTCGCATCTGCCCTGTGCAACATCTGTGGCACATTTGACGCACCGGTTGAGATTACCCGTGCCAGAAGGTATCTGTCAGCCGTGTGTGCTGGGCTAGCAGAGGATCTGTGCCCAGGCATTGCTGCTTTGCCCAGACTTGGCTTCGGCGTGTCTGGAGGGCTTGGTAATTATTCACCCTGCCTTGTGCCTGGGCGTACGCGCTCTGTCTGGGTACCAGCCATACCTGGGGGTGCTGGGGAAACACCTGCCTGGCGTTGCAGCTGCTGGCGAACGGGAGAGGCCGCGACAAGCAGCTGCGGGGCAGATGAACGGGAAAAGGCAGTGCCAGAACAAAGGGGCTGTGCTGGGGGAGGGGCTGGGGACACTGGGACTACCAGTTAGGGAGCTGTGGGTGATCTGCCCCTTTGGATGGCTGTGGGGCACCTGGAAAGCTAGGGGTGAACACCTGTTCTGGCATCTGACCAACTCAGGGGTGTTGGGTGCATGGCGCCCGGCGGTTCAGAGGCCAAGTGCCAGGAAGTTCAACTTCTGCCAAGGCCCATGCGGCTTTAAGCACCCCAAATGGTGCGCATGAACCCACTTCTTCATCACATCCTGCCTCAGGAAGAGATCAGTATGACTTTTGTAGCTTGCGCGTTTTTGTGATCGAAGCATTACGCTGTGCGGGTTCGGAACGCACCTTACATTTCGCTAGCGAAGTCAGCAGGTGTCTCTACGTTGCCCTTGGAATCCATTTGCGTCTCCCAGCCCAGAGGAAGTGGGTAGCCAGATGCAGGATCCTGCCTTCCGCAGCACAACAGGGACGAGGAAAGTGCCCAAGAGGGAGGCCGAGTGAGGCTGTGGTCTGGGAGCTCAGGCCACTGCGAGGACGTTGACATTGGGCTCCGGGAATACTTCCACCGTCCCATTTGGCTTTGTTTATGCGACAGGCAAGCATCACCGTCCTGCACATCAGGACGATGATGTGGAAAAGGAGCCCGCTGGGCTTGCTGCAGTCCCTCCTCCTCCTCCTCCTCCGTTTCCTTCCGTCTCGTTTTCCAGGTGGTGTCTTCAGGGAGACCATGGGTGGCACGAGGCCCCTTCTTCGCCAACTGCTCTTGCGGGCTGAATTTGGCTCCCTGAAGCCACTGGGCAGCTTCAGTTGTGCCGACGCGGCTCCCTTCCCGGAGCGCAGAGGAAGGAGGGGAAGATGGTCAAGCCCCCATGCCTCCTGCTCCAGAGGTGACCCAATGCTCCCTCCTCCCGTCTGTCCAGGAGCTTCCCACATGTGTGTGGGGGGGGTCATCAGCTGGGCAGCACTGCCCTGTTTGGGGCAGCCCCCCGAAGAACTCTGGGGCAAGAAGCTTCTGACCATCGTGCCAACCTGGGACTGCTCTTTGCCCTGCCCCTTGGCAAGAGCAGCCCCAGCTGTCCTCACCCCCCACCCCACCCCACCCGTGCAGCCGCCTCCTTCTGGGGTTTCTCCCACCACGGGTTGTGATGACCCAGCAAGCAGCTGCGGTGCGCAGAAACCTCTGTGCGTCCCGCATTCGCTCGCCACGGCTGGGCTTGCATGACATGCCGAGCAACGCTGCTTTTGAGACTGTCGCTTTCTCCACCTGTCCGCCTTCACCGCTGTTTCCATCTGCACGGTCCATGCTATCTTAAACGGGGTTATGCTGTAGACCACCCCCTGAGACCCCCAAAGAGCTGTGCCAGTCGGGAGTTCACCTGGCAGGCTTGGATGGACGCAGATGGGCCGGCCTGCGAGGAGTGCCCCCTCAACGGAGAACTGGCACACCTGGCGGGCGGCATGTCAGGATGGAATCCAGTGTTTACATGTGTAGACGGAAAAAAGCTGTCCAAATGTGAACGCTGAGAGCTGGAGGACCTTTTCTATGCAAGCAGGCGTAGGATCACAACCTTACGGACGCTCTCTCCGAGGAGGGCTTTCAGTTTGAAGAGGGTAGGAGGAGCAATAAAACATGTCCGTCCTTCTCCCATGATCCGAAGCCGTGCGCTTCCTTGAAGCTAGTGTGCTCCTGCCCCGTCTGGGCTTACCAACCAGCACGGCTTGTGAACGTGTGTGTGTGTGTGTTTCTTTCTCCCTCCACCTCCCTCTTTAAAAGACCAGGCTCCTGGGGTTGAAGATGTATTTTAAGCTCTCCTTTTGATGATCTTGCAAAACTCCGTTGGCCCTCTGCTTCTGGAACCTTACCCTTTTCGCAAAGACTGAGCCATCTTTCATAATTCAGTTGAGTCACCTCTTTGGGAGCATTGCTCCAGTTATGTGGGATGGATGTCTAGACGAGCAGTCATTTTCTTAAGCTCTGCTCTAAAATGCTGGATCGCCATCCTGGCCGAGGACTGGCAGAGCATGCCCAGGGTGGCCGTGTGTCGTCTTTCACAGGGGAAGGCTGACAGAGGACTGTCTAAGCAGGCAGTCTGATCCAAGTCCAGCCGAAAGAGAAAGAAACCCGGGACAGAAGGGAGTTGCTTCAGAACCCAGCAACTGTGGCCAAGCACTCTGGTCAAGGGCTGCCAAGTATTGCACCTGGTGCAGGCAGCAGAACTGGGGGTGTTCCCAGAAACTCCTGAACACCTCTTTAGCTCAGGAAGCCTCCCACATTTTTCTCAATATTCTTTTTTTAATATGCTGTTTTATTCTTTTTATCTTGTTAAAATAGTGCTGTTCCCGGCTTCAGAATCTGTTCAGGCATGGAACTATATCTAAACACTATAGAGCAATACATTTCTATTTAAGTTATAATAGCTGTTTCTAAACCTGCTTCTGTACAGGTGCATTAGCATAAGTTATGCAAAATGTTTTTGTCTCCTCCTCACAATGGTTGGTGTTGCCTTTCTTCTTTTTTCGTGGTTGGTGAGTGGCCGTCCTTCCTCCATTCAGGGGGAGGCGTGGTGGATAAGATGGAAAGGAGCTGCCGCTCTTACGCAGGGCAGGCGTTCATGCGCTTGCCTTCCCTGTTCAGCTTCGCTTCTCCAGACCAACCCTTCTCATCAATATTTCCTGATGGGACTTTTTTTTTTTTTTTGATGTCATTCCCCAATAAGCTGCATCTCGTTCAACATTCCCCAGGACTGCCCTTTGCCGCATCCGTGCAGATTGGAAAAAGATCTCTGTTCTTTCCATGTTGCGTCTGCTGACCAGGTGATCAAATCCCGCAGTGCAAAAGCCGAGGGGAGATTTATTCTTCAGGTTAAAGGTGGATACAAAGGTGTGTGGAGGGATGTGCTTGTCTCACAGGGTTATTAGCTGTTTGGAGTACAAGTTGTTGTTGTTGTTAGTTGCGAAGTCATGTCCGATCCATCGCGACCCCATGGACAACATTCCTGCAGGCCCCCCTGTCCTCCACCTTCCCCCGGAGTCCACTCAAGCTCACACCAACTGCTTCAGTGACCCCATCCAGCCCCCTCATCCTCTGCCGTCCCCTTCTTCTTTTGCCTTCAGTCGTTCCCACCATCAGGGTCTTCTCCAGGGAGTCCTTCCTTCTCATTAGGTGGCCAGAGTATTTGAGTTTCATCTTCAGTACCTGGCCTTCTAAAGAGCAGTCAGGGTTGATCTCTAGGACTGACCGGTTTGATCGCCTTGTGGTCCAGGGGACTCGCAGGAGTCTCCTCCAGCACCACAATTCAAAGACCGCAATCCTTTGGCACTCAGCCTTCCTTATGGTCCAGCTTTCACAGCCATACATTGCAACTGGGAGAACCATAGCCTTGACTATACGCACTTTTGTCGGCAGGGTGATGTCTCTGCATTTTAGTATGCTGTCTAGATTTGCCATAGCTTTCCTCCCCAGGAGCAAACGTCTTTTAATTTCTTGCCTGCAGTCCCCATCTGCGGTGATATTGGAGCCCAAGATAAAATCTGTCACTACCTCCATTTCTTCCCCATCTATTTGCCAGGAAGTGAGAGGACTGGATGCCATGATCTTAGTTTGTGTACAACAGCCTTTCACAAAAAACAGATCAGAGGGACAGACGTTAAGAGGGGCTTCCTGGGCCCTTGAGCAGATTTTAATTGGGCCATTCCAAACCTGTTTTTCTACCTTGTTGGAGCCTCATTTTGCTGGGGATGGGGGCAGGGAGGGGTCTGCAGAGAGTGGGGAAGCTGGTATGATCTACAAGGAGGCTGTTGGTCAGTAGCAACTGCTGGGGATCATGGGCAGGGGAGTGCTCTTTTGCTCACGTCCTGCTTGGACAAGAGGGGCTTTTAGTCTGGGATCTCCGTAAATTCTTCGGCGTAATACGAAAAAAAGGAATGATGAAAATTCTGCAAAAACCATTAATGCTTGTCAGCTGCAGGTCTGGTAATTGGACGCAGTGTTTGCTTTATCCCTGAACATGAGAATTTAAAAAAAAATTTTTTTTGCCTGTATGCACGTTTTTCTTCTTTTCCTCCAATGTTTTTGGCACCTGTCCCTGTTCAAGTCTCCTAAACTATTGGCCGGCTGCAAAAGCAGTGATTGGAAAATTAGTGCCAGTTGGAACCTGCGGTGCGTCTCCGTTTCTGCCTGCCCGTTTCATTTCTGCAGAACTACAAATGTCAAAACTTCCCTGAAGTGTTGTGTTGCTTGGAAGGGAATTTGGGAAATGGCTCATATGTCTTCAGAATTGCTCATACCCCGTTGTGCTAAGGCATATATAGGCGTATTGGTGTTGGCTCGCTACACAATTGAGTTGCGTCACAGCCTCGAAGAAGCGCACCGAGCAGCAGCAGGGGCTGGGCTGCTCAGGAGCTGGGGATATTCCGCTGCGAGGAACGGCTCTCGCGCTTGAGCAGGCGAGCGCTTCCAATAGCAAGCACCGCCTTGGCGTTTGCAATCCCCCTTTAGCTCCTCCTCAGCTGGTGTTGTGGCGGGAGAACCTAGGATGCGTTTTGTGCTCGCAGAAGGTCCCACGTTCAGCCTTCTGTCTTGGAGTTGTACGAATTTCTGCTCGCAAGACTGGAAAAACCTCCTTCCTCTGTCAGAGTGTTGGGCTGTGTTCGGCCGTTTTCAGCCCAATTCCCTCCAGATGTTTTGGACTACAATGCCCAGTTTTCCTGGCCATTGGCTGTGATTGCTAGGGCTGATAAGCGCTGGAGTCAGGAACACATGGAGAGAATCCATCTGGGCTGGGCTCGGTGGACCTGTGGTCCAACTCCTTGTATGGCAAGCCGCCATTTATCTATCAGATTAGTCAGTGTTGCTTTAGGTGACGTGGGTCTCATGGCCTCACACAGGAATGGTTGGCAGTGTCCACCTCTGGAACAGGAACTGTAGCTACACTCTGCATCAGACGTGCTCACTCGTAAGAAGGTAAGCGCTGTGGTTAAGACGACTGGCGCACCAGCCGTGGAGTCCAACGGGTGGATTTCTACGAATCTGACCTGTCATTTCCATTATGAGTCGTATGCCTGCATTGTGTTTATATGCAATCATACAAATGCGTATCCTCTTGCGAGAAACCCATAGGCCTCTTCCACTCCATCTTTCCTTACAACAACAACCTGGTGAGGTGGGATCGGCTGAGTGTGAGCGACGGGTCCTGATTCACCCAGGGAGCTTCATTTCTGCACGGGGATTAGAACTCAGACCTCCTGGGTCCCCAGCTGACCACCTGAAGCACCACACCGAATCACGAGATCCCACTCACACACAGATCAGGTTTTCACTGACTCACATGGGCTAATTTGTGTTCGTGCAAATGCGCCCTAGCACGGCACTATCGATGAAGACACGTTTCCACAAGTGCTCACCAAGGTACCTTAGCACAAGTCTGTGCCTGTCTGGGGGGCACATTGGCACTAACTCAGGTAGGACAACGCTCAGGTTCATTCCGCCACTGAGGGAGGAGGCCAGCCTCTGCAGTGCCCATTTAACAGAATTCGTATGCCCCTAGCAGGGTGGGATCGAACGGAGAGCCTCTCCTGGCTAGTTTGCTGACCGTGTCCTGGCCAAGTGGGTGGCCATGAAAAACCGCAGGCAGAATGTGAGTTGTACGGCACCCTTCGGCTCATGATTCCCAGCGACCGGTATTGGGCAGGATGTGGTACGCTTAAGCGCCTTTTCCAGCAAAGATTCTTTTTCCCAGCCTGCGAACCCTTTCCCCCGCGATTGCCAAGTTTCTCACCTGCAGCCCCAGGCCTCTGATGCTTCATTAGTTCCACTCAGGCAGTCCGTGGAAAAGGTTACAGACAAGTCAGGAATAATTGTGCCTGGCCTGCTCTTGATTTTTTTCTTCATTCCTGACAGTGGGAGTCGAAGCCCTTTTCGCCAGGACTGGATTACCCAACAAGTGAATGAGGTCTTGCTCTAGAAATGGTGCAGCCAATCTTACCAGCAGAGCGTTTTCTTTCCCTTAAAATGTAGTGGCTCACGGGCAACTTCTGAGCGGGCTGATTTTCATGCTAATGCAGCGTTAGAAAGGGGGGTATATGAGAGGAATACATGGTGCACGTGTGCATTGATTCTGAAGAGCAACACAATGTCACAGTCGAGAGTAGCTAATCCATGGTCATAGCCACCCCATTCTCGGATTGAAGTTCCGTCTCTTGGAGCACAAGGGGGAGGTATCCACAGAACTGGACTTCGGAAAAATCCCAGCGGGAAGAGCCCTCCCTCCCCAAACTGCCGCTGCTGTTTGGGTGCAGAGCGCCGACTGACTTCTCAGAGGGCAGGGGGAGAACGGAATGGAGCTCTGAGAAAGTGGGCACACACACCAAGCGGGGGCTCCCCACGCCGCAGCCTCTCATTGCCGCTTCGTCTTGTGCAGAGGGATTGTCACCCCAAATGCATGTTGGAGCCATTCTCAAACGGAAGCAATTGACTCACACTCATGTTTCTGCCTCTCTTTCAGGGGAAGACCTTTTCTCTGGACCGTTTTCTATTTTACCTGTTTCCTAGGATTTGCACAGGGAAGTCCTGAAGGTAAATTTCACCGATTTGGTGTTTTTCTTTCCTTTTCCAGGGATGGGAGAGCGAGCAGGTGACGGGGGACAAAAGCCGAATCCAGTACTTTAAGTGTGCGTGTAAAGTGAGGGCCTTGACTAAGGCGTGCCTTCCCCTGGGGGTGTCTCCTTCCAAAGACGGTGGGATCTCCATCGCGAAGGCCATTTACTGGCTCCTACAGGTGGAGGAAGCAGAAGCCAGGCGCCCTGCCAGATCAGAGACAGAGAGAAGGAGGTTCAGTCCTGCAGGAGAGGTCATCTTGCAGGTATCCTCAGCCCATGTTAAGGAAGGCTTTGCCTGAAAGCAAGTGTGATAGGATCAGGCCACGATGGCAGGCGGCATGTCCTGAGGACAGGAGGAGAGTCCCAAGAATCAGGGCAGAGTCATTTTGGTCTGGTACTGTGTCTGCACGATGGCTTCCTGGTCGCGTGGCATGAAGCGCTCGTCCACAGCAGTTCCCAAGCAGATGGTCCTCAGCGCCTCTGTGCTTCTCGGGCGATTGTCCCTGGAAGCTGCTGATGGCCATTCCCTAGGAATCGGTCTGAGCCACCCGCAGAATGGGTTACCCGCGTTTCTAGAGTCAAGAAGTACCAGGCCTGGAAACTTGCTTCTTATGGGGGTTGGGCTTAATGGACCTTCTGAACCCCATGGTTCTGGGATGGTTCAGTCCAGCAGTGGGTGATACGTGGTCCCTGCCACCTTCCTCCCCTGGATTGCCAAAATTAATGGTCCCCCCCCCACCTCCCCATTCATCATTTCACCTCTATGGGAGTTGAAAAGGTCAGATTTATTCATTCTAAGCTGAGTTTTGAGCTATTTGGGAGAGTTCGCTGCCAAATTTTGTTGGTGTGCTGCCCAAGTTTTGCTACTGCTGAATTTGGCGATGGAGTGGTAAGAAGGCTGTGTGTGTGTGTGTGGGGGCAGTTCCGGGGGTGCAAATGCCCCCTGGGCACCTCTGAGTTGCCCAGCCTGAATGAGCAGTAGACAAGCGCTTTCCATAGCCACGGTCTTGCAGTGTTCCTTTCCCCGTGTTCCTGCCGTACCTGCCTGTCACTCCCAAGGTGTGCAGGAGACGGTGCTTCTTGCCCGGAGGAGGCACAGATGCACCTCTTGTTTCCGTCACGGCCCTGTTCGGCTAGCTCTTCGCCTAGTGCTCCCTTTCCCCCTCCGTGGGGGGACTTCGTCATGCTGCAGATCTGATGTGCCTGCACCCAGAAGAGAAGGTCCACCAACCCAGGTCGCCCTGTCCTCCTTGCTTTCCGGATGATGGCATATGGAGCTTTCCACTCGGCTGCCAGCCCAGAAATGTTATAATGGATTCCATGTGTGGCTGGCATTTCCCTCCAGGCATTGTGAGGGGGACCGGTTGGCTCCCCTGCCTTTCCGAAGGTCATTCATGTGACTGGGTTTTCTTTCTTTCTTTTTTTTTAAAACAACAACTCAACAAAACCCTCCAGTGATATTTCAGCCAAGTTCTTTTGACTTTAAAGAAGCTGGAGAAATCTGCCATGGATTCAGCTGAGTTCCTATTTCTATGAATCCAGCCCACGGATTCCACAGCAGACCAGCTTTTCCCAAGTCATACCGATTCTGGGGACTTGCAGACTAGTTTTTGCTAAATAAACCTAGTCATAGAAGAACATCAAAAATGGAAAAACTGCTTTGGAACAAATGCATGTTTCCCCACCAAGGCTAAAGTACAAAACTGTGCATTTTGGAAGGGTGTGTTCATTTGCACACCTGCAGGCTTGTCCGTGAGTTCTCAAGCTCAGGAAATTTTTTAAAAATCTGACCCCATCCATGAGCAAAGGATGGAGTGAAAGGCAGTGGATAGTCCAGGAAACACAGATGGAATGGATTTAACAAAACCCAGACATCCTTAATTGGCTAATAATTTTCTAGAAAAAGCTAGGAAAGGATGTCAAAAGGCCAGGGGGTTTAGGGTGGTCTTCCTGACACAGTGTCCCACCCACAAGATCCAGCCAATCAGACCACTCTTAAGATAATGGGGAAAGCTGAACAGCTAATAGGGTGAAAGCCAGGAGGGACTTTCATTTACAGTGGGCCCTTTCCTTCCTACAAAAATGGATCCATGTTTTATCCTCCCAAGAACCTCACAGGGAGACTAGAGTAGCCACCCCGAGACCCACAGGGCTAAGTGCATGTCTGAACGTGGCCATTCAGCACACAGTCTAACCACTCACTGAGCTGTCCTGAACGGGAGACATGAATAAGGACTGATTCACCCAGGCATGTCTGTCACTTGGGTTACTCATGACTTAATGACGAGGGGCACCGTGAGTCTCTTTCATGAAGGCACACCCTTGCTTGAGGGGGGCAGAATGCCGGTGGAGGCACAACTGGTCACGAGGAAACCCCAACGGAGTTGTCCCCCCCATGACAAACGCCTTGCAGAAGCTACAATGCTAGGAATCCCTTGTGAAACTTCCCCCAATTTCAGGAGGACCAAGAGGAACTTCTCTACTGCTTCCGCAGTGGTCTGCTTGGAATGCGGTATCTCTGGAGCATCCGCTCGGTGGCCGGAAACCTCCCTGCTCCAAAAATGGCAAAGCCATCCCTCCTGGATTGACTTGGGGTTGACAGGATTTGAGCAAGTCCCGTTCCTTTCAGCAAGACGAGTCTCAAGATGGTTGTGCAGACTGGTGGATGGGGACCCCACTCTGATTCAAGGCTGGATCTAGGTTGGAGCAGGGGGAGTTTACCAATGGCTAATGGTGGCAGGCCTGGTATTGCTCACGTGTGGGGAATTAAGATGGCGGCTGGTTCCCAACCGGCTGGCGTGGGAGACTGCAACCAAGTGTTGGGGAAGCTGCGGCTCTGCCTGCATCTGCCCTTAGATCGCCCGAGATTTCGTGTGGATAACTCGGCTGGCCTTAACTGTTTCTAGCATGCCAAAGAATGTGGATTGTTAATTGATTTATTCACTCATTCTTAATTCAGGCTTTCTCCAAGGAGGTTAGGGCAACATAGATCCACGTTTTGCAAAATTATTCTCACAGCAACCCTATGAGGTGAATAATAGTGAGAGAGAGAGAGAGAGAGGGGGGGGTGGTTCAGACAAGAGAATAAATCTCACTGAAGGGCTGAGTGTGGGTTGAGGCTGGGCTGTTACTGAACCGTCATTGGTTGTTGACAAGCTTTTAGTTGTCCGGACCCAGCTGTGCTAACAATTCATGGCTTGCTAACCACTAACAACCCACAGTTTTCTTATTTGTGGTTAACAAAGCATATTTTATTAGCTTGACAAGCCAAGTTCCACCCACATAACCCAAGTTTTAACAGCCTAATGTCAACCTGTACTCCACTTGTGAGTGTGGGTTATTGTGCTGTCTGAACCAAGCCACAGTGACCAACCCAAGATTAACCAGTGGGTGTAATGGTTTGAGGCAGGATTTGAACCCAGGCCTCACTAGTCTAATATTAATTAATGCCGCTGCTGTTTGTGGAGCTTTCATTTCACTTTTCCATCCAGTGCCTGCATTGTTCCTCCTTATCTTCTTGGATTTAATCCAAACTATTCAGGCTGGCCTTGAGGCAAGCTCTAAATTATATCATCTTGCTTTAGAACAATACGGAAAAGCGTGTATCTCTCTCTCTGAATCAAAATTAAGAACATTTCTTAAAGCTGAGCCATTAATTAGTAACTGCAGAGCAACATTAAAAAATCAAAGGGGAACAAAAAGTATTATCTGTGCATTCAGCACATGTAAAGATTGTCACCCCCCCTTCCAATTTACGACTTCCTTGCATAAGTGGAGAACATCTGGTGGAATCACTTAAGCAAACATTTTTCCGTCTGAGTTGTGTGTGCTGACTTTGAAAAAAGGGGTAACAAACCTTTAGCTCTCTTTCTCGCTCTCTGGAATAGCCATTTTAGTTTGTGGTAGCTCTCTGTGCTGTTTTTCCACTCTTGGTAGACCTGTGGAATGCCTGCATGTTTTTGGTTTGGCATCAGCTCCTTCAAACAAACGCTCAGCCCCCTAAGTATAAACTTATTGTTCTTCTTTCTTGTATTTCTTGCTCACTCTTACAGCACCTGTACAGTTCTCAGGGTGGCTGGCCTTGTTAGAAAATACAGTGCAGCGATTATATTAAAATAGAAATGTAGCCTCAAAGAATCGATGCTGCCGGCATGGCCCCCCGAAACTAGGTTCAGCCCTCGGGGTGAAAGAGGTCCTGGCTTTGGATCCCAGGCTGGAACTTGGATTTAATGGAGGTTGTGAATTTCTCCTCCAGCTTGTCGTATTCTCCTTTGGAGGTGGGGTGGGTGGATTGTTGAGAAAGGCTGCTTAAGTGAGTTAATAGTTTATCTGACTAGTTAATAGACTCTTATCTCTGCTGATCTCAGTGTGGGGGAAGTGGGTGGGAAAGGAATTTAGAAATGACCCCTGAATGGTGGAGCCTTCTAAGTAACATAAATTGTGCCTCCCTGGATCCGTTGTTGGATGCAGTTGGTACAAGACTGGGATTCAGCAGTCTGGATGAGGAGCTCCTAAAAGAAACCTGGCTGTCCTGCAGAAGGATTTCAGGTCTGCTGGACCACAGCTCCCATAATTCCCAGCCAGCTGGGCCCACCAGGTGTCCTCTGGGAAGCCAACCAGGGGGGCATGGCTACAATTGCACCTTCCTAGCATCCTGGAGGGAAGGTACAGCCTTTGTGGCCAGTGGCTGTGCCCCAGTGCCATCCAGGTGTGGCTTCCACGAAGTGCTTCTGAGCAGAGCCACTCTCTCCTCCACATACTTTTTGGGGGAGAAGTTGGCAGAGCCTTGCGCTGTTCGATGGAAGGAGGAATTCAGTAGCAAGCAGAAATATTCATACTAATAAACCATGCTAGCGGTATCCGTCCATCATACCGTCTTCGGAATGAGAGACAGTGGCACGGGAATTTCCGTGCTCCTTCCACTTCTCCCGGAAACAGGTCTGTCGTCTTGCCTGCCATGGAGACTGGAAGTGCTTCCAGCCACCTCACCGGTTCCTCTTTGATTGAGAAGGGGGGGGTGTGGGGTGGGGATGGGAAGATCACACCGACTTGGCTTCCTTTTGGTGATTTGCCAAAGGGAAGGAACAGCACTCATCTCTCTTCTTTCCAGCTCGAGAAAATTGCACTCATCAGCCGGACCAAAGTTGGCCACCTCTGCCTTTCATATTTGCTTGTTTTCCTTTCCAGCTCCAGAAATGCGGAGAACTCAATGGGTTGCGTAACAGTGCAGGAAGAAAGAGGCTAGATGTCCCAGAATATTTTGGAAGTGCCTTTAAAAATAGCTCTGATTGCTACTCTGCTTCCTAAGAATATAATTGTGTTCCCATGGGGTCAGGCTGATGGTCTTTCTGGTGGACTCCTGGAGCTGTCCACACCAAAGCTGGTCTTTGCTGCAGCTCCTCCGTCACTTGGGACTTTTTGCTTTATGAAATGAATCGATGGAAGTCCAATCAAGGAGTTGTGGGGTTTACTTAGCCTTCAGACAATTCCCCTGTAAAAAATATCCCACAACTAATGCTGTGATTTTGGCAAAATAATGTGCTGCATAGATCTCTTTTCTCTCGTCCGGCAAAACGGAGTTTAGGGGATGGCTGACTTAGCTTTTGCTACATTTGGTTTTGAGTAGGAAAACTCCACAGGGGGCAAAGAGTTGATGAGCCACCCTGGGAGAGGAACAGGATTCTAGCCACACTTCTGATTTATGTCCGGCAAAATGCAAACCCTCCCTTTGGAGAGGGTTTCCAGGCCCATGCACTGGATCCTCCGCTGTGGGGTAGAGAAGGAGTCCAGCACGCTTTCCTCCGGCAGTGTGAAGGACAGAAAGTCAGGCTCATTGAGGCCTTGGCATGATTCTGTGAGGCTTTACTTTCTGTCTGGGAAGCAGGTGCGCGTGATGTGAAAGCTGCACCTGGTCACGGCACGTATGGCCACATTTGCATTTGGGGGTCAGCCACGCCGGTGTGTGACGCGGTCTTGCCGTGGGTCGCTGAGCAGCATGGAAGCCAGCAGCGTGTGGGGAAGGAATCCTGGCCTCCTGGAAGGGCTGCTCACACCCAGCCAGAAGGGAGGGACTGTGTAGGAAGAGGGCCCCGTCTCAGAGGGGCCGCAGACCGGCACCCATAGCTACCCCCTTGCTCCCTCCAATCCACCAGTTCTACCACTGACCACCAAAATAAAAAAAGGTCAAGGTACGAATTGGGAAATAATGCAAGTAGAAATGCCACGTGTTCCCCCAAAGGCAGTGATTCCGGGAAATAAAAAACAGGAGGGAAAAGTTAGCTATAAAACACCCAACCTGCTACTCTCTGGATGTGATATTTTATTTATCTATTTAAAACGTTTGTACCGTGTCTGGCATCTCAAGACGGCTTACAATAAGAGCAATAAGAGAACGAAACAAACACAGCACCTACCAACCACGACACCCAGAACCCCCGGCAATTCTGGGGGCTGTAGTCCAGGGCAGCCGCTGTGTGCCAGCTTGGTCCAGCCCTCTGTGGATGGTTGGCGGCCGCCTTCCCGTGCCTGACTGCTCTTCATCTCTTTTCAGATGTGGACGTTCTCCAGAGGCTGGGGCTGCTGGGCCCCAGTTCCCGCTCCGTTCCTCAGGGAGTCATCCCGTTCAAGCTGGGCGTCATCCTCACCCAGCGGGCGCGCGTCGAGGTGCCCGTCCGGGAGGTCCTTCCCGCGGCCTTCGGCACCGACGTGGCCCTGGTGCTGAGCCTGTGCTCCCACCGGGTCAACAGCGCATTCCTGTTCGCGGTCAAGAGCAAGAGGAAGAGGCTGCAGCTGGGCGTGCAGCTCATCCCGGGGAAGGTGATCGTCTACGTGGGCCACCAGCGCTCGGTGTACTTCGATTACAATGTTCACGACGGGCGGTGGCACAACCTGGCCCTTGACATCCGTGGCCAGGAGGTCACCCTGCTCACCTCGTGTGGGAAGCAAAGGGTTCGTGCGGATCTGCAGCACAGGAAGGACAAGGCGCTGGATCCGGGGGGGTCCTTCCTCCTGGGGAAGCTCAACCAGCACTCAGTACAGTTCGAAGGGGCCCTCTGCCAATTTGATATTTATCCTTCTGCCAAGGCAGCTCAGAATTACTGTAAGTACCTGAAAAAGCAGTGCAGGCAGGCAGACGCCGACCGACCGCAGCTCCCGCCTCTTGTCCCGCTGCTGCCGAAGGAGCCGAGAGCTTCCGAAATGAACGCGCCTCTGTCAGAGCTCTTCTTCCTGGGCTCGACGAACCTGACCACTGTGCTTCCCCCCTCCCTGCTCTCCAAGGCCCCCACGCCCCAGAGGAACAGGGAAGCGGGGGCTGCACCCACCTCCACCGCCGCCACCACCTCCGCCAAGCCACCGGTCCGGCCACCAACCACCAGAGCCAGCAAAACCGTAGCCACGTCCTTGCCCCTCCAGCCGGGAGCTGAAGCCCAGCTGCCTACCCAGACGCTCCGTTGGGCTGTCACAGTAGCCAGTCCGACGTCCAAAGCAGCTCGCCAGGCCACCGCAGCCCCCGGGGCGTCTCGTCCCGCTTCCAACGCGAGTTCGGAGAGAACCCATTTGCCTTCCAAGAAGGGCTCTCCCCTTACGCTCCCGAGCACAGCCGCGAGCTCCGAAGCAAGCAGCAGCGCAAAGGGGGTGGCAAAGGGGACCAAAAGGACGGGCAGCGGGGGCCAAAGCAGAGCTGCCAAGCCCTCTCAGCTGCCTACCACTCCGAAGCCCTGGACAAAGACGACCACGGAGCGTGCGTCCAGCAGCTTCCCTCCAGGGACCCCGAAGCGCCGGCTGGAGAGCGTGACGCAGAGCCCCGTACCCAAAAGGTTGTTGACAGTCACGCCTCCAAAGAAACCAAGTCTCGCTGCAGCCACCGTCACTTATACTAAGCCAACTCCCAGAGCGGTTTATCCTGTTCTCAGAGCAAGTGTGCCAAATGCTAATTTAACAACTCCGGCCGCCACTGACGGGTACCAGCTGTTCGACCCGATTGGACCCACTCCCTTCCCATTTGTTGTGGGGCTTCCTGGGCAGAAAGGAGACCATGGTGCTCCGGTAAGTGAAAAGCTTTCTGAACTCAAGTTGTCTGGGCAACGGGGCACCACGGTGTGCGTGTTATGCTTTATGCTCCTATCAGCTATTTCACTGCACCTTGCCATTTCCGCCTCCAAAAGGTGTCCTAAGTTTGGGCTGATCTGTGGAAGATCCTAAGTAAAATTGTTCCTGCAGTACATTCTGTGTTCTCAAAGAAAAAATCACGGTCATAGAAAACGTACCATATTTACGGATAGGGCTGGGAAAGGCCAGCCAGAATTTGTCTTCCTGGATATCTCAGCTTTTCTGTGTAGGGTTGTTCTCACCTTCAGACATAAAGCCCCTTCGCACACGGAATGGGTTCAGCCATGGGTAGATCTCTTTGTGGGCTGGTACAGGCCCCTGCGTGCCCTCCACCCCTGCACTGGTTTGATTGAATGCTTCGGGGTGGACTTGAAAACCCCATAATCCACTTCGGCATTGACTGGTGCCTCTTCAGGGCACCTCATGGGACCTTGAATATTCATGTGAGTGGGAAAGAATGTAGGTTAAAGCAAGACCCCAAATTCATGTTTCCCAGGTTAAAGCAAGACCCCAAATTCATGTTTCCCAGGTGAAAATGTGGGTTGGAACAGTTATTCTTCCAGTGATGCAATTTTCTGAATTTTGCAATGCGTTTCTTGATTCTTAACATGCAGGATGATATATTTAACAAGGAAAGTAGCGCAGAAAAAGGCACAGGTTTGGGCAAATTACAGACAAAAAGAAATAGGAATTTTCATGCATAGATCATGGCAGGCAGGAGGAGTGGACTGGTGACCGAATAGCTGCAGGACCGACAGAGTCCGAAGGAGGCTAAATCGGTCGTTGCTGCGAGAGAGGCGAGGGGTCCGTTCCGCTTCTCGAGCAGGCTGCTCCTGGCGAGGACCATCCTGAGTTGTGCAGCTGGCGGGGCCGTGAGTGTCCGTGGATGTTGGCTTGGCTTGCTCTGCCGGGCCGGGTCCAGTGCAAGAGAAATTTTGCGCGTGGTTTGCCCCCGTGGCCGGCCTGAGCCGCTGGGCTCTTCTGCAGCACAGCGTCTGTTTTCCTGCTCATGCACAGCCCTTCCGGCAGAGCTGGGTGGGCCGAGCGAGAAGCGTGCCGACTTGGCCTGCTTGATACTGAAAGTGAACCTACCCCGTTTGCAAAGCATCATTGCTATAAAAAGGCCCCATATAAATGGTTAATCACCCCCTTTTGCCAGGGAGCGGTCACGGAGGTCACCTGCCTTCCTGGAGCACTAATTTATCTCTCTTGCGCAGCAATGCCTTTTCCATGTGCTGCTCTCTGGGGCTCAGCCAAATGAATCACGCTTCTGTTTCGGCATCAGACAACTTGCATAACCTTCCTTAACATAACTGCTGTTCTGGGGAGTTTCATGGCATCTCAGGCTTGGCCAAAGCCTCCCCAGACATCTGCAAATGGCAAGCGCTGAGCTTCCCCCCGGGCATGTTTTAGTATTGGTTGGATTGCAGGGCATCAAACACGACTTGGAGAGTGGCTGCTATGCTACAGCAACCGGTGCTCCGGCACCATTCAAGGCAGCTTTCCATGTTGCGGTTGAATTCAGCCCTTTATTTGGAACCATAAGGACTAGAATCTTACCTCGGGTTTTGATGAAGGACTGCCCTTGCTTTGCACGCAGAAGGTCTCAGATTCTGTGTGTGGCATCTCCAGTCGGGGCTCCCAGAGCGGCTCCCAGTGACTCAGGCTTGGATGCACATGCATCTGTGAGCCAGAAAACGTGCGTACGTCTTCATGAAGCGTCGCCGCTTCGATCCTTGTGGGGCCAAACAAACTAGTGACAGTGTCTTTTCAAGTCCTGCCAAAGGCCCAGTCCAAGTTGAAATGTCTGCATGTGTTGCTCCCGTGAGGCTGCTTCTGAGTAAAACAAAGCAAGAACCAAGCTCACCTTTCAGGCAGGTGGGACCATGGGCTGCCTCCTTTGAACTCGTTTTGGCCCCATAACCCCCTGCCCCCAGTGCCAAATATTGGCTAGAAAGTCACTGCTAGGTTAGGGTGAGAGCCCCAAAGCCTGAATGGAAATCTCAGTGTCTTCCTGGAGACCCCCACCTCCATTTTTAGGGAAGGTTGTATCTGGCTTCCACTGTGACCAATTCCAGGAGAGTGATAAATCCAGAGTCCTCCGAGAAAAGCTGGGATGTGAATGCCCCTTAGTCCGTGAATCATTGGTGCGCTTCTGTGGATATGAATTACAGCTATTTTGCCGTAGTTGGTGGAAAGATCAGGCATTGTGGAGAGGAAGCAATGCAGCCCTCAGTTGAATTTGACCTCTGAAATAAAGTCAGCGCGATGGCGATGGAAAGGGTTCAGCCACATTCAGCCGAGCTGCTTTGACCTTTCCGGAGCCTCTCTCTCTCCCCGTCTCGCTTTCTGTAGTACTTTGTTGGCCAGGGAGAGTGAGATGACATCTTGAGAAATGTAAGAACTTAGCTGTGATGCAGCCAGACAATGCATTTTCAGAATGCAGATGCTAATCATAAATAGATCTTTGGTTGAGTAACTGCTCTGGCACTCTCGGGCGGGCGTTCCTGATGCGGCCGGCCTTTGCGGCCAAGGCTTTTCCTGACCATGTCTATTCTGCCTCAGCCAGCCCATCCCGCTTCAGTCAGGGAGCCTGCAGGGGCGAAAGCTGTGCTTCCCGTGCAGCACCGCTTCCCAGATGTTGCTCATTTGGCAGGCAGTGGCGAGCAGAACAGTGTGGGGCTGTGGGGAAGGTGTCCAAGAAGGAAAGAGCGATTGGACTGGGCTCTAGGATAACTTAGAGGATGCCCAGATGTGTGGCGGATGCACCATCGGGCTCAGCTCAGGAAGCAAGCGTCCCCAAACTGGTACCCTCCACGTGTGCCGGATCACAGCTACTCTGAGTCCCAGCCAGCATGCCCAATGGTCGGGGCCGAGAGGAGTCGCAATCCAAAGCAGGTGTGTGCTTGCGCGCACAGGAGGCATGCAAGGATGCCTGGATTGTGGTGGAATCTCTGGGCATCCAGGCCTAGCTGGGTGGCTTTGCCCCGCCGCTGGAGGTGGCTTCCACACGGGCAGGGAGCCACCCAGGCAAGGCTACACCCCGGTGGTTAAGGAGCTCTCCATGGTCCTGACCCTCTGGCTGAGGTGGCTGCTGGTCCATGTTGACGTTGATAGGCTGGACGGACCCATGGCTCGATTCAGAATGAGGCAGCTTCTGCTGTTCCAGCCCCTGCTGGGGCACGTCCCTTCGTCTCTAGGATCTCTCCAGGGTTCGAGGTGACCATGGCTCTGCCCATTCTCTTGCTCCCAGACGTGAGAGCTGGGTTAGAAAAAAGAATAATAAATCAGCGAACAGCACAGCATGAAAGCATTACTGACACGTGCATGAAATAATCTATGGATAATGACCTGCATCTTGTGGCTGCGAGGTGCCATCAAGTGGTCTCCGACCCATGGTGATGAGCGTTCTCCAGAGCGTCCCGCCTTTCACAGTCCTGCTCCGCTCTTACAAGCTCAAGGCTGTGGCTTCTTTATGGAATCGACCCATCTCGCCTTTGCTCTTCCCCCTCCTCTTCTGCCTTTGACTTTCCCTAGCATGATGGTCTTCTCCAGCATGTCTGGCCCTCTGATTTTCTTTCAGTTTTGTCCCCATTGTCATCTTTTAAAGCATGGAGCCAAAGAATTAGGGAAGGGTAGAAGCAATACTCGCTGCGTGCCAGTATCTAGAAATGTCCCTTTTTCAGTGTTCGGGGAAGAAGTGCTGATGTCCTACAGCCCTGTATGAAACCCACACAAAAAGGGGCACCATTTTGGGGGGGGGGGGGGGGGGGGGAGCATATATTCCCAAATCTGTGCTCGCCTTTGAAAAACGTGCTGCTGTTTCTTCCACAGCGTGCATTTTAACATTCACTTTTTAAAAAAGAAAAGCATTTTCATCTTTCATTATAGGGAAGAGTTTTGAAAAATACGTGTGGGGATGCACACTTTCCCCAGTCAAGCAAAAACGGGGGAAAAGGAGGTTGTGGGAAATTGGGAGCAAAGGTGAACTGAGCTTTGCAATGGGATTTGGAGAATGACCGCGTGCTCGGGCTGCCCCAGAGTTCCTTTTCCTCCTCGTGCGTAGAGGGAAGCCAGCACCACTTGATGCTCAGTGATGCAATATCCCTAAGTAATATTAATGGCAATTGAGCAATTGTCTGCAGAGTGGAGATGGCCAGATGGCGGGCTTGGGAGGGCAGGCTTGGGGTGTTGAAAGTAGTCTTCCCAGGTGGCCCATGTCCCTTTCCCTGCGGGTCAGATACTGCTGCTTTGTGGTGTGCGCTGGAGTGGGAAAGCACGCCTTCTTAATGCCCCAGGGAGCAGACGTTTGCTTAAGCCCTTCAGAAGGAATATAGCAAGTGGAAATATACAGTGCAGCACTATATGACTATATCTGGTGCTGAGCAGGCCTTCGGAAGTATACACAGTTCTCAAGCTGAACTTTTTCTGCTCCGTAAGCAGAGCGTTCGCTTGCATGCATCGCTTAGTTCAAGGGTCTTGCCCGACCTCAAATTGCTGCAAAAGAGAAAATCGATTTAGCTTTGCCCGGTGCATGGGACAAAATGTTCCCCTGAGGAAGGCTCTCCTTTCCTTGCCATTTCTTTCGTTCTTTAGTTTATTTACAGTATTTTTACCCTGTCCTATACAAACATCCCCGGACGGCTTACAGCATAAAAATATCATAACAATGAATAAATGCAAAAAAATAGAATAACAGAACTAGTATAACAGAATGTGACAGAGGATGACCATGTTAAAACCTAGTTTTAGCAACTCCAGGTGGCTTTGATTGTGTTTTGTGCACATTGGAAAAATCCGGAAGGTGCAAACTTAAGGTTGCTGTATGCCAGACTGTTTATCCAGTGCAGGATCCATATAAGTGGCAGTGGGTGATTTCTGAAAGAGAGTGTGGGGAGGCAGCCATTCAACTGATGAAGCTGCGAGAAGCTTGAGATAACATGGCATGAGAAAGGATGCTTTTTGGGTCTCGGTTTGATTTGTTTGTTTGTTTCGTGGGCCTTTGATGTTCTGTCATCTAAAAGCAGAACATAGGAGTGGCCTTCTCAAAGGGAACCTCCTAGATTTGCCTCTATTCTAAACAGTTGTGCTTGGGTTTACATTCCCGCAAGCCGCACGAGGCCTCGTGAAGCTTTTGAACTCTTCCTTCTGCGTGTTGTTAGCCCAGAGGTCAGTGGATGTGCTGCTCATCATCTCGAGCAGCAGATTCTTTAGCGAAATCAGGGCCCAAATGGAGTCGTAGGGGCAACGGATGTTTGGAGACAAATCGCATTCCTTTGAGTTACTGTGACTGGGTCCGAGCAAATCCCCTTCTTCTCTCTTCCCTTCGCCTCTTGGTGTCTTGTGCAACGGAATGCACATGCGAATGCTAACAAGCTGACCATCGGCAAGAGATTGTAAGGCTGGAAATACCTTGAGATTTTACATTTCCTTCTGGTGACTCCTGTCGGTGTGGTTGTACCTTTGGAAGCGCGAAAGCTCCTCTGTGTGTACTTGCACAGAGCGGAGCTTTGCGAGATGGTCCATTTTAGCAGGAGCCACACAACTCCAGCTGAACTGAGGGGCCCGCCAATAAAGCTGACCCCAGTCCTCCCACGGAGCATCTGCCAAGGGTGTTCTGGGTGGCCCTCCAGCCCCTGGATTCTGCTTTTTAGCTCCTGAGGATAGAAGGGCGAGGAGAAGTCTAGAAGTGGCTGAACTGCTGCTTTGGCCCGTGCCGAAAGAGCCGCTCCTTGCCGTTCCTGGGAAAGATTCCTGGCCCTCGGCCCAGCTATGCCCTCTTGTTAATCTTGGCCCCGTCTGCACCTGCCTCCTTGCTGGGGCTGTAGCCGCTTTTAGAACGAAGCTCTACTTTTGGTAAAAGCCGTGCGGTCTCCAGAGCTCCCAAGGGCTGCCTTCCAAGCATTCTCGCATCTCCTGGTCTCTCTCATTCCCTCTCCTTTCACACAAAGGAAAAAGCCATCACTCATAACAAGCTACTTGAACATAAATCCTCGAGGAGACACCTTGGTTTATTCTTCGTGTTGATGCTGCCAAGAGAGGGGAGGAGAAAATGCGCAGATAATTAAGAGCGCCGGTCGTTTTCTGGCGACGTCGGACGCTCTGGCCCATCTGGAAAGCCTGAATCTGAAGAATTTAACTGTTTGACCCAGCATCCTTAAACGCTCAGATGTGTTATTTTTCCGAAACTCCCCCTAAAGTGCCCCCAAATCGTCCCAATAAATAGCTGGGAGATCACGTCATTTTGACATGCGTTATTCTGTAGAAATAAGGAACATGGCAGGGCTGGTCTTTTATCCTGGCAAGCTTCTGACGTCACGGTGCTGGAACTGGGGGCAGTCCTGGGTCCCAAGCACGAGGACTTTGTTCCGTATGAACATGAATGCAAGAACCCCCAAGCAGCTGTGCTAGACCTAAGAATGCATTTGTGCATGGAAATTCATACTTTGCCTTTATATTGCAATGATGCTCCCCAACTTTTTCCAGTTGCTTACTCTTGGCAGCCCATTTCCACAAACCGTGCCTTTCATATTAGCAAAATGTTTGCTATTCCCGTTGTTGCTGTTCTTTCAGATTTTTATGTTGTAACTGTGAACAAGTAGCCCAGTAATGGGACGAAGAGGTAAGGGAATAGTAAGGCGAACAGACAGGAAATATGTAATTACATTCAGAACTGAAAAGAATCTTCTGCCATTGTTCATTTTTTCACATACCCCTAAATGTCCTGGTTCGTACCCCTGTGGGTTCAGGTGCCCCGGGTTGGAGGTCACTGTTTTAGAAGAAAAGCCCATGAAAATGGTTATCCATGTAGATTATATTTTGTGTAGAGAATCTGGGGCCAAATTTGCAATGAGTGTGTAAAGAGGCTGAGACAAACTTACAGTGGGAAAAATAAGCAAAAGGTGGGCAGAGCCAAAATGGGCCGTGCAGGTGCATCTCTGGTCATCAGTGGAAGACATTTGCCACTGGGGGCTCACCAGGAAGGGCTTGACCGGGATGGCTGTCCAGCCGCCTCCTGACTCCTTTATGCAGGCATGTTTTCCTCCGATTCTTCCCACGCTCCTGCAGGGTAGCCCTTCATTCTTAGACTACTGTAAGAGGCTCTTTGTGGGGCTGTCCTTGGAGAGTATCAACTGGTTCAAATTGGGGTAGCTAGTTTGCTAGACAGGTGTGTGGTTTTGGGATAAGGTGGCTAATGGGGCTGGTTAGAAATCCAATAATAAATAAATAACAGGACCCATCCACTGGAAGATATGTATTGGTTGCCAATAGTTTTCTGAGTGCAGCTTCATGTATTGTCCGTACCTTTCAACACTCTTAACCAGCTTAGGGGGTGAGTATCTGGGGAACTGGATCTCTTGGTACCAACCTGGTTTCTTTGGTCTGCAAGAAGGGTGTCATTACCAGGCACATGTGAAAAGGATTTCTTCCACGTCACCCACAGATTATGGGATCAACTCTGCAGGCCACAACTGCCTCCTTTTCTCTTGGCTTTTCAGAAGGAGTTAAGATACCTCTTTTTAATTAGGCCTTTTAGAAACATAAGCTGTGGCTTCACCAGTGTTGTTCTTATTGCAATGTGCTGTCAAGTCATCTCTGGCTTTTGGCAACCCTGTGAATGGAGGCCCCGTACGAAGCCCTTCCCTCGGCAGCCGTCCTCAGCCCCGGTAAATTCAAGGCTGTGGCATCCTAGATGGAGTCCCCCCATCTCCCATGCATTCCTCCTTTTCTTCTCCTTCATCTTTCCCTAGCATGATGCTCTTCTCAACTGTAGGCAGCGTGATCCAGTGGTCAGAGTGTTAAACTGTGATTCAGGAGATCTGAATTGGAGTCACCTACTTGGCTGTGAAATTGACTGGCTGACTTTGGCCCAGCTCCTCGCTCTCCGCTCAGCCTGCCTCACTGGTTTGTGGTGAGGATTAAGTTGGGAAGAGGCGGGAAAGCGTTGTGTAAATTGCCCTGAGTTTCTTGCAGGAAAAAGAGCTAGATGTAAACACAAGAAGTAAAGAAAATGGTGTTGGGCTGTTAGGTCATGAAGTCGTCTTGTTTTTATTTGTATTGTTCTACCTTGGGGACACTGGCAGAAGTGCATGCATATGTCTGCATGCAAAGAAACAGAAGGGGGAACGTTGCACTGAGAATTAGTACCACTGAATTATAAGAGGAATATGATGAATGTTGTATTGGCTGGACCAAAGAGCTTGCAGTCCCTCACTGAGCAGCGGGGTTGGACCTCAAGGCTCTATTGGCCCCTCCAATTCCGCTGTCCTCTGATGGGACAGTTCTCTGCAGAACTCGCCCAGGATTGGGCCATTAGCTTTCGGCCGTGATCCCTCAGTGGGCCTCGCCTCTCGGCGGTGGTGGCAGGGGCAGCCCATGGAGCCGAACGGCCTGCTTGCCCCACTTGTGGGAACAGGGCTCCCGGACTGGGGAACCTCTGCGCTGGCTGCTGCGTGGCCCTTGTAAGGCCCGGCTGGACCCATCCTGCCTGAGGACAAGGAGCCCCTGAGATGGGGTGGGATCGCCGTTCCCGTCATCCTTTTCCAGGGCTTGCTCCGGGTTCTGCATGCCCAGTGGCAGGGTCCCGGTGGGCCCTGCCCCTCTTCCCCGTTCTCTTCCTGGCCTGACATCCTCCTCTCCACCTCTGCCCCAGCACCGCGGCCGGCAGGTGAACGAGCAGGGTGTGATGGGGGAGGGGAGGTCAGACTAGATGGCCCGGGAGGCCCCTTCTGACTGCTTCTGTGTCCCAGGAGCACGGGTTGTGAGCCCTGGGCAGGCACCGGTCTTGCCCAGCCCTTGTGCCCCCCGAGCAGTGCAGCTGCTGCCCTTGAAGTCGTGCCTCCTGGAGAGCCCTTGGCCCCGGCCCCCTTCCCGCCACCAGCGTCTCCTGCTGCCCCTCCACCGAGTCGCCTGAGTGCTTGGCAGGCAGAGAGCTGGGCAGAGGGGGCATCCTCTCCCTCTGCCATCCGTGTCTGGGCCAGGCCGAGATGCGGGAGAAGCAGCGACCCCCAGCCGTGCCTGCACTTGGGGTGTCTCTCTCACTTCCCATTGGGTGTGCTGGCAAGGGCTGGTGGGATGTGTAGTCCAAGGACAGGCAGGCGGGATCACGGCTTTGTAATGCTGCGGTTGTTGGAATTCCCTTTCTCTCTGCAGGGCCCCCCAGGCCTGCCCGGTTTACCAGGACCGCCTGGCAAGAGAGGCCCGCGGGTGAGTAAGAAGGGTCCGTGGAGGGGAGGCGGGTGGGTGGGGGAAGCGGCAAGGAGGCCCCAGTGCCAGGGTGACCCCAGCCCCTTTGGTGCTGATGAGAACAGGTTTGCAAGGCAGCTGTGGGGCGAAGGTGTGGAGGCTGCTTGTGGAGGGAGCGGGATTCAGAGAAATTCCAATGCATTTGAATAATCCATCATGGGTTTCTCCAGCATCCTTGCTCCAGGCGTCTTCCTGTGGAAGCCTTCTTTCCCCTTTCAGAGCACGGCCATGCGGGGCCACCCGGCCTTCTCCGTGTTCTGTGCCATTTTCAAGGGGGTAGCATCTTGCACCCAAGTTGCGTTCATGCAGCAAAAGGCCTTCCTCCCTCACCCTCAGATCTCCCCCTTTTCGGGGAGGAAGTTCTGGTTATTCCCAGGGCTGGAGTCTGAGGTCGTCTGCATCGCGCCAAGTAAGCTCGCCTGGTGGAGGCACGGGAAAGGCGAGCGAGGGAGAAACTGTTTAAAGAAAGCAGTATTTTTCCAAGTATGTCACTCCTTCTCTGGCGAGCCAAAGGTCAGGGTGGAATCTGTAGGTCAAGAGAGAAGCGCTCCCATTCATTTCCCCCTCCCCACACACTCCCCAGCTATGAGTTGTAAATGAACATCTGGGCATTTCTTCTTGGAGATTTCAGCCTCCAGCGGAAAGGCTGATGGCATGGCTTTCGGAAGGCCCCGAATCCACGAGCTAGTTAAGAGGAGAAGGGAAAGAAAACAAGGAGCATGACTGGGGTGCTTTGGAGAGACTCGCATTGCAGCCTCTGGGGGGCTGGTGCTCTCCTGGGCTGCCCGAAGATGTGGCTTCCTTCCCCAGAGGGTTGTGTGTCACACCGCTATGGGAAGGCTCCTCTTGCCCGCAGCTTTTGAGAGCACATCTTGTGGGCTGTCTCCTGGTTTGTACCGCTGTTGGTCTTCCCTCAGTTCTGACTTACGGCACTGTCCCAAGACAAACTTTTCCAAGGAATTCGAGGGAGAGCAGACTTCTGGTATAGGAGAATTTTATGCTTGCTCTCCAGAAGATATCAGTGCCATTCCGCACTTACCATAACCGGTGGAGATCCAAGCCTCCGTTCTGTTCTTCCTAACACCACCTTTCCCCACTCTGATGGCGCTACACGGTGTGGAAATGTGAACTATGACAGGTTATAAAGCTGGAGCTGGCTAATGTCGGCCCTGCAGGTTAGGGTCCTTTTCATTCCCTTCCGTATCCCCCCACGTGCCTTCAGTGTCTCAAAAAATTGGGCACGCAGGGTCTTTGAGGAGGAAAGGGCTGAGCCAACCCATGTTCTCCAGCATGAAGGCCCAGCTGGGTTCTGACCAAGGGTTCCCAGAATCGCTGGTGGCCCCCCCCCCCCCCCGAAACTAGCCTGTGATCTGTAGGTGAACTGTACTCTAAGGACTGCCATCTCCACAGGCTGAGATTCCGTATACAGGCAGCTCTGCAAAGCCGTTTTGTAGCATGGAAGCCTGCTCATCAGGACTTCAGCCCCACCTCTGCCGCGGCTTTCCCTTCCCAACAATCACAGCCCTAGTCTCTGAGCATGCTAAGGCTACACGGGGCAGGACGCATCTTTCCTATGCACTCTCAGCGAAATTCCCTGGGGTGGGGTGCTGCCAGAAGCTGCCTCTGGGGGTGAACACAGCTGGTTGTCCACCCCTGTGTAGCTCAGAAGGAGGTTTCAGGCCACCTCCGGTTAACAGCAGAAAGGGATGGCCCAGTAACCGCTGCTCTCCGCTTGTTCTTTCAGGGTCTTCCTGGGCCTCATGGGAACCCCGGCCGGCCTGGTCCACCTGGTGCTAAGGTAAGGAAGAGGTGGGGCTGTTGAGCGTCTTTCGGTAATTGTGGAAGAGCCCCTCTGATGTTGGGGGAAGTCGGAGTCGTGGCTCCAGATGCCGGTCACCCCACTCTCATCATCCCCTTCCTTGACCTCAGGTTGGCTCTCGTGGGGAAGCCAGAAACTTGGCTTAGTAGCTTGCTGGCCTCAACCCGCTCTACACTCACAATATTTAAGGCTGATCATACACCTACAAGAGTAAAAAAATATAAGTTTCTAAATATCCCAGGGTGCGAGTGGTTTCTGCTGACAGCTTCCTCAGCTGCACATTCTCAACAGGTTGAAAGGAAGATAAAAGCACCCGTCCATTCCTTCGTCCTTTCCCTTTCCCTTCCTTGTTCTCTCCCCACTTCCACTCCTGGGCCAGTGCTTCATTCTCAATGCGCTTCATTTTCTGGAAAAGGGGTTTTTGCTCTACTGGCCTGTTGCCTTTGTCTGATTAAGAATTAGGCGCTAGAGATGGGTTGTCGGGCAACAGCTGTTCCCAATTTAAAAGCACTGTTGCACAGCCTGGAAAAGCGAGGTCGTAAAATAACAAAATAAAAACCCCAGCCCACTACATTGTAGCCTTTTATATTTATGTTCTTGTCGATGACTTCCAGATCACGCTGCAAGTATTGTTTTCTCTTCGTTTCATTCTGAGTCTTCCTAAGTCAGAATCCACGGTTGTGCCTTCTCTGAACACCACCGGGGTCTCTCAAAAATGGATGTTGGTGCGAATGTGCGTTGCACATGTAACTGCTTGGTGGAAATAATCGTTCTGGGCAGTCAGAGGGCTGTAAGAAAAGCGCCCTCAGGTGCCGCTGTGTGAGGGCTCAGAGAGGCAAAGAGCTGCTGGATTTTTAATATTAGGGCCCCCAGATTCCAATTCATGAGCCCCACGGCTGCCTCGACTTGCTGTTGTGTGAATCAGGCCAATGTGCAGACTGCATTTTTCTAAGACAGGTTGGGGTTTTGTGCATAATTCTTAAAAAAACACGACATTGGTGCAAACCACGTTATTTGTGCCCACTGGAAGCCAAAACAATGTTGTCTGTGTATAATTTGCACGCATTACCTTAAGGGGCAGTGGTTTTTCTCCCCAAATGCACAAACCACGACCCATCTTAAGAGACGTGTCTGAAGGAAAGGTCCCAACTCGGCCCACTTTTGATCGTCTGCGTGGAAGCGAGCGCAAGTCTGGTGCGCCAGGGAGTGGCAGCTGCTCCATGTTAGCACATCCGTATTCATGAGTGGGGCATCGTCGCTTCTGGTAGAAAGGAAAAATAATGCACATCACCTTCTTCCCGGCAGCATAGCTTGCGACCCTTTGCTCTGCACATGTGTGATGCGTCGTTATGTTGCGTGTGTCTGCTTAAGCCATATCACTTTGCTAAGTCTGATTATGTTAAGTCTAGCCTAGAGCAATGTGCTTGGACCTGCGCACATGCATTTCCCCCCGACAGGAGCGGTTGGGGAAGAACAGAATTGTGGGAATTATGTTCTCAGCATGAGCAGGAAAGGCGGAGCAGGTTCATAATTTGGGGAATGAACAAGATGCTGGTGAAAACTCGCGAGGAATATGCCTTGAATGAGGTTTGACAGCAGTGAAGTGAGGCAAGAGTTGCATCTTCATCCAGAGGCTGAAATCTTCCAGATCGGGGCTGCTGCTGTGCATGTGTCAAGGGAACGGATGCTCCCGGGATAGGCTGTTGGGGACCCTATTTTGAATTCTCTTTTGTGGCTCTGCAAACCCTTTGCAGAGGTTAGGACGTTGGCTGTCCACACACACATGCATGGAGAGTGACAGAATGCCCCCTGTTTTAGGATCCGTGCGCAAAGAGCAGCGTGGTGGTGGGCATGCTGGGTTGGGAGGGGGAGATCCCAGCCGGAGAGAGTGAAAGGGGAAGGACAGGGCCTGAACCAGGCCTCATAAGGCTACCAGCTCAAGACTTTCCAGGGACGGCCCCAACAGCAGGGAGAAAAGTAGTATCTCATTTTAATCCCTACCAGGAGCAAGGTTTTCTTTCGCAAAGCTGGTGGGTCGTAAAAGGCCTTTCAAAGTTAAGCTACCCCAAAAGACTTCGCATGAACGCAGGGGTCGCTCACATCAAGATGGGGACAAAGCCTCTGTGCCCCGGGGAAGAGGAAAATTGCAGGATGTGTGTGTGTGTGTGTGTGTGTGTGTGTGTGTGTGTGTGTGTGTGTGTGATGCCCCTGCTAGTCTCAAATTCCTGACGCTTGGACCCACCTAACAGTGCTTCCACTACACCAAGGACCTCGCCCCCTCCCTCGGCTCTGCCACAAACCTGAGCCTTGCTTTCAGTGGAGAAGGAGCATGGATACTGGCCAAACCATCCCGAAGGCCTCACGTTTCTCACCCCGAGTTAGGGCGTTCCCCATCAAAGCCAGCACTTAGAACCTGCAAGCATCCCGGGAGCCTGCAGAGCTGGGCTTTAATTGGCTTTCGCAGGTACCGCATCTCCTCCTTCCTTCTCGTTTAGCCTTATCTTTCCTGGGGAGAGAAAAAACCCACCCAAGTTGCCTTAGTGAATGCAGCTGTCATCTTGGGTCAGCGTTTCATGCTCGGCCGGAGCCAGAGATATTACTGACCGTTCTCTGAAAGGGCTGGGGACATGAGGGTTGATGGCTGAGTGAGTCGCTGTGGCAAGAGAAGTCCCCTCCATCCGCAGAGCCTCCCCGATCCATCGTCCTGCCTCCCCGGGTGAGAAACACTGCTGGCAGTTTGTTCCCAGACCTGAATCGGGCATGCCACAGAAAAGCTCTCCAGCTCCGAGGACAGCTGCATGCAAAACAGAAAGCTCTGCGTGGCTTAATTTACCGCTTGGCAAAGCCGGCCGGTTTTCATTCAGAATTTGGGCAGGGACATCTGCACTGAATCAGCTCCGCTCGCCCCGGTCTTTCTCCAAGAATTCTCTGACAGATCTCCACTTGGCCTGGGTCAGTGTGTGTAAGTGTTCTGGGAGTGGGGGAGCGAGGGAGATGGGAGAGTTTGTGGGAATTGGAAGGAAGTGTGAAACAAGGGTGAGACTGCACCGAAACGAAAAGGAATTGCAACTTGTCCAGCTGGTTTGGAAAAAAGTTGAAGAGGGAGAAAAGCGATGCCTTTGTATTTATAGGATAGCAATTTCCTAATGAGAATCTCCAAGGAACTTCACAACCGTTTCAGTTCCCCACATGGTTAGGCAGTGATAGACAAAGTTGTTCCTTCAACCCATGGGGCAGGAGTGAAGTTGAGTAACAGAAAAAACAGCTTGCAAATGCAATGCAATACAAGGTCGAGGACCGCAAGTTATACGCTGTGCGATTGATTGATTATTTGGAATAGGCTGTGGATCATGGCAACCGAGTACAGGGACACCATGCAGCAGCTTCCAGAAATGGCTGGAGGACAGAATACGCATTGAAATGAATGGATCGTAAATTATTCTGCTTGCAAAAAACATAGAAACAGAGCGAGTCAGAAGCGGTTTCCCGGGCCATCTAGTCTGACCCCCGGCTCCAGCCGGCTCAGCCCACAACATGCCCAGGCTTCAGTCCACAAGCATGGACCCAGAGAGAGAACCTCTGTCGTCATGCTGAGGCGAGCAGTGGGTGCCCCTGCAGATGTTGGGCCTACAGGTCCCATCATTCTGCACCCTTGGCTGAGTTGTTAAGGCAGATGCAGCCCCGAACTTTGAGAGGGTCACAGTTTGCCCACCCCTGTTTGTAGGGGCTGCATTTTCATCGTATGGAGCATGTCCTGGAACTCTCCAGATATCTGGGGCTGCTGCTCCCATAAGCCTCAGCTAGTATGGGGGTGATGGGATCAGGAGTCCGACATGAGCATTGTCTCCTTGGGTGTTTTGGGGGGAGGAGGGCTTTGCCAGCGCTTTCCGTTGGGTCCCACCCTAACCTCCACCCAGAGGAAAAGACAAAGACCCCTTTGGCTGGCTGCCAGTACTGGCACAAGCTGCCCCTCTGCTCGTGGTGGGAGCACATGCCCCACAACCGTTGTCCCGCACTCGGCACCCACCAGGACAGCTCCTTCCGGCCCCCTCGGCCGGTCGCAGCATCTGCCCCCCCTCTGCCCCCAGCCCCACACGCTGACAGCTCTGCTTCCCTCACAGCCCCAGGCGACATCTCCCACCCACTGCAGCTCTCAAAGAGCCGCCCCCACTGGGAAAGCCGGCTGGCGGCACGGTGCTTGGCACTCGGCCGGGAGTTGTGTGGGGGGCTGTCCCTGGAGGTCGCTCGTGGCACCGCGTCCCTGGGTGTGGTGAGGGCCACGCTGGCAGCACGGGAGGCAGCGGCAAGCAGTGGCAGCACACCCTCTGGATGGCCGGGGGAGGAGAACGTGCTTCGCCGCCTGAGCCGAGCCGCGCTCTGTGCCTCGGGGAAGGGCCGCCCGCCTGTCTCTGCTCGTTCCCCTGCTCCACCTGCCCGCTGCTCAGAGGACCAGAGGAAGCAGCATCCACCTGCATGAGGCTCCCGTGGTCGCAGAGCCCCCTGCCAGGATGGCAGCCCCGGATGCCGGGCGCGGCTGCAGCAGTCTGGCTGCGAGTCTGAGCAGGTTTGTAGAAGCAGCGGCTGGTTTTGCGGTTGAACCGGCCCTGCCCAGACTAATGCTCTGAAAGGACAGGCATGGCTTGGTCAAGTCGCATCGAAAGGACACCGGACACCATCTGAGTGGGTGTCCTGCAACCACAGGGGGTTGGACTCGATGGCCTTCGTGGCCCCTTCCGACTCTACTATTCTCTGTTTCTATTCCTCCTCCAGAACTGCCCCAGTTCGAAAGTTCAGGTGCATAACCCTTTCGGGGTCAGGAAGGTCTGGTTTTGTTCATCCACAGCTCCAGGATCTCTCCGTCTTTCTTCCTCCCCCCGCTTCTCCTACTCCTCCCCACGGTCTCTTCCTGCTGTGCTCTTAATCCAAGAGACTGCCCTCTTTCCTCAGCCAAGTCTCCTAGTGAGTCTTACAGGCAAGAGAGGACCTACCCTTGACCTTGCAATCTGGAAGACACGGGACAGAAAGGAAAGTCCGTACGTGGGAGGAAAAAGGGGAGGAAACACATCAGGCACTACTGCTCAGCTGCAGAGTTCTTGTAAGGACCAGCTGGGGTAAAGTTCAAGGAGCGCAGAGATGGGGTGTCTCTGGCTCGCCGCCCTTCTCTCCCACACCCCTGTCCGATTGCGTGAGTGCTGCTGGATGCCAGTTGACTGTGGCTGCGCGTGTCTCTCGCTCTTTTCCGTAGCCTGGAAAGTCTCCTTTGCTGAAAAAGCCCTCCCAACATGGACAAGGAGGGCGGTGTTTTGGGCATGGCCAATCATGGGCTGGGTATGGCACTCTTGGCTGAAAAACAGCGTTTCAGGACATGGCTGGGTTGGTTGGTGGTTGTTGCTAGTTGCGAAGTTGCGTCCGACCCATCGCGACCCCATGGACAACACTCTTCCAGGCCCCCCTGTCCTCCACCATCCCCCGGAGTCCACTCAAGCTCACGCCGACTGCTTCAGGGACTCCATCCAGCCACCTCATCCTCTGCCATCCCCTTCTTCTTTTGCCATCAATCGTTCCCAGCATCAGGCTCTTCTCCAGGGAGTCCTTCCTTCTCATTAGGTGGCCAAAGTATTTGAGTTTCATCTTCAGCATCTGGCCTGCTAAAGAGCAGCCAGGGTTGATCTCCTCTGGGACTGACTGGTTTGATCTCCTTGCAGTCAAGGGACTCACAGAGTCTCCTCCAGCACCACAGTTCAAAGGCCTCAGTTCTTCGGTGCTCAGCCTTCCTTACGGTCCAGCTTTCACAGCCATACATTGCAACTGGGAATTGCTGGGTTTAGACAACCTGATAATTCCCCAAGCGTGGAGTGTGGTTTATTGTTGAACCATGGCTTGTTTAGAGACACGAGTTTTGTTTTGTTGTTGGAGCCCAGCTGAGCTGGCAATCATGGTGAATAGCTCCAACAATAAACCATGGGTTCTTTTCACGGGTTATTTGTGGCCAACAAGCCATAGTTTGTTGGCACAGCTATTTCAGGCAGCATGATAACTCGTGGTTCAAGGACAACCACAATCAACTCACACTCAACCTTTCAGTGTGGGTGTTTTGTTGTCTGAACCCAGGCAGTGTGTCCTCCTTGTGATTTCTACACTGAAGAGGGGCCATGTTGTATTTTGTGTTGTAGGGCCAGAAAGGTGATCCTGGATTATCGCCTGGAAAAGCACGGAATGGTCAGAAGGTAAACATGAATTTAATTTCATATAAAAATAGGGGGGGTCTCCCTAAACTCACTCCCCAGCTTGCTGGGGTACATATCCTTTGGTAATCGGAACAACCAACCTAGCTTTTTATAGCCTTTATGCCATCATTCATATGGAAGAAACTTTTGAAACTGCTGATTCTGCTAAAGACTTGGGAGGATGGGTTGGCGGCCGTTCGCAAGGCTGGCTAATGAGCCTTCCGTGCCGACGTCTGTGGATCACTGCTTGAAACATTCCCAAGGCCGAAACTGTTTGGAGTTCCCCTTGAACGTCTTTGCTTGAACGGACTCCAAAACTGATGGTAGCCGCTCTTCTCTCTTTGACTGTCTTCACTCTTCTTCTATCCCTGTTTAATCATTCACAACCACGAGGTTAGAGACTTTAGACGAACAAGATGGATGCTTATCTTCTAGAGATCTTGAAGTCCAAAAAGCGAATAAACCCATTTATGCTTACACCTGCAGGGTGATGTTGGCTTACCTGGATTGACCGGGCTTCCTGGGCCACCTGGTAGGAAGGTAAGGCTGCTTTGTCCTTGCTATTGGGCACAGTCCTTTGGGGCACAGTCCATTCTCGCAAGGAAAACCTAAAGGAGACAAATGGTTTCTCTCCACTGTTGTATAATATGCCACATTGTCAGTGATGATCCCAGAGAAAGATGGAGGAGAGCCAGGCTTCCCCTGCCTGGCAAGCATTGGAAGCATCCCTCCCTCTTCCTTTAAGGCTCGGGAAGCACTGGGGCACGAGGGCAGAAGCTGATGGGGTGACGATTGGGGTCGACGCACTGAGGTTGCCGCACTTGTGGGCTGTACAAACCTTGGTTCCTCCGCACCGTATGTGTGGATCCTGCAGGGTTTTCATCAAGAGCGTCCCTTCGCTGGAGGCCTGGTGTGGGCTGGTCGTTAGGGTACCAGACTAGGTTTCTTGGGGTTTCTCGTCCCTGCTTGGTCAGGACACCCTCTGGTCAGGGACTTTCAGCCTCAATTGGTTGTGAGGATTCAGTGGAGAATCTAAGCTGCCTTGGGTTCCTTGCAGGAAGGAGGTATATAAATAAAAATACACATGAATGAAATAAATAAAAATAAATGTGAATAAAATAGGAGACATTGCAAAGGGTGGGATATATAAAAGCCTCCAGTAAATAAATAAATAAAGCAAACAATACAAATAAATTGATGCCATCAATAAAAACAAAGCGAATGGTTTCTCCGTGTCCCCCATGGTAATCTTGCTCTAAGGCCTGCCATCTTAGTATTCCTGAGTATCTTAGACAGCTTAGCCCTGCCGAGGCGGGAGTGCACAGCCTTGCAGCTGGTGTGGAGATTTCCGGGGGGGGGGGCACTGCAATCCCATCATCCCTGGCCAAGCTTGTTGGGGCTGATGGGGCTTGTGGTGCCCCCGCTACGCCTGGAGAGCAAGCTCCCTCCGTTTGGTCCAGCTGCTGTGCTTCTCTTGGGCAGATTGAGGGGTTGGTGGATTGTGTTTTTCTCTAAAGGAACCGTTGGCCACAGGAATGTGGCTGCCCGTTAGCGGATTCAGATTAGATGCCCTTTAGCTCCAGGGAAGATCTTTCGGATGAAACAGAGCACTAAATCCATTGACCTGTGAAAAAGCAAAGGCGGTCAGTAAACCGGGAGGCAAGCGCAGTCAGTCCCAAATAAGATATAAGATCAAATATGAGACGACACCCTCGGTGAAACCAGTGATTGAAAAACACACAGAAAAGGACATTGCGGCAGGTTCAAGACACGGAAGAAGCATCCTACTATTTTGCCACCTGCTGGGTAACAAAGTTATTGCCCCAGTGGCAAGTTTCGGACTGTGAGTGTGCCTCCTGTTCAGTCTTGGGGGCCATTCCCCCGAGCAGAGCCCCTAAAGAAAGTGTTGAAGCACGTTACCCAGATTCAGGCTGGACATCAGGAAAGGCTCCCTCACTGTCAGAGCAATGGGACAGTGGGACCAGCTGCCTGGAGAGGTGGGGGGCTGTCCCACCCTGGAGGCATTCAAGGAGAAACTGGACAGCCCTTGGAGTGGGGTGGTGTAAACTGGTGTCCTGCAACAGCAGGGGCTGGACTAGATGTCCTTCTTGGCCCCTGCCAACTCTGCTCTTCTGCGATTCTTTCTCCACCAACTGGCTCAGGTAGGTTGATCTCCACCAGATGCACTTTTTTCCTGCAAGGTGCGTGGGTCTTTCCGTCCAGGCCAAGCCGCCCCATCCCAGCAGGGGCAAGATGCCTCCCCCTCCAGCTCTGAGAACAGCAGCTCGGCTTGGAGGGTGACGGATTCATGTCAGCATCCCGGCGGCTCGGGGAGTCTCAGTGCTGCATCCTTCCAAGCCGACTTCCATTACACCGCGGCTCAAGGAAGCCCCTGAGATGGGTGTGTGCAGCTCAAGCAGGAAGTTCTCCCAGGGAGGATTTTTTGTGAGTTCTCAGCCGCTGACCCCCACTTCAGCTACGCAGAGAGAGGACGTTTGCCTCCAGTTGGCTGCAGGGCCAAACAAAGAGAAAGAGCAAAGGGGTGATTGACCCTCTCTGGATTCTGCTCCCGCTCCGCTAACTTTGGCCCTGTGCATTGCTGGCGCGCAGCCCTGGACAGATTCCTTGCGGAAAAATGCGGCTGTCAACAGGGAGAGCATTGGCCTTTCCTTGGGCTCACTGGACAGCCAGCTCCTGCCATCTGACCACTGAAAATCTGAAGGACGCGCCTCAGGCCCCGTCGAGAGCACTCTCGTATTTAAGTTAGGGACGGGCGAGGAATTTGCTACTGAGTTTTTATGGATCAGCGCTTACCTGTGCATTGCTGTTGGCACTTTCCAGAACTGAGTTCCTCAGCCCGCCAAGCGAACCAAAATGCCTGCATCCAGGGAAAATGCGTGCGCAGACGCATGAGAGATGGAAAGGATATGTGAAGCTGCCACGCGCTCTTTCTCAGGGCCGTCGCTCACACCCGGAGTGGCGTGCCTGGCTCGCGATCTGGCGATCGCCGGGCTCCGGCAGTGGCTGGGATGCTTCTGACCGTCCTTCCCCACCACGCTTTTCCTCCATTGCCAGAGGATATGGAACAGCTGACCAAAGAGGGGGGGGGGGGGGGCGTTCTCAGCCTCGGAGGCAGCTCTGGGTTTTCCATCAAGCTCTTCCCATGTGGGAAGCCCATAAATTCCGTTCGGGATTCCCCCTCCCACCAGCAGTCTGTGATTCAGCCTGTGGCTTCAAGGAAACCGCTGTTGACGTTTCTTCTGGGACCGATTAATCACGGCTACCAAGCCGATCGCGGCTCCGCTCTGGGCATGGCACCAGAGAGCCCAGTGTCGCGTGGAGCAGGCTCCCTGGATGGGACGGGGACGCCACCACCAGGCGGCTTTGGGCTAGTCCTCGGCTCTTGGTCGTAGCCTACCTTACAGGGTGGTTTTGGAGATGAAAACATGGGAAGGTGATCGTGCAAGCTGCTTCTGGCTACTTTAAGGGGGGAAAGGCAAGTATTGATGTATTCGAATGGGCCAGGCACTCCCTCTTCACCGACTTATCAGATTCTGGAGAGGACACTTTGCGAGAGGTGATGGGAGGGTAAGGAAGGCCCAACAGGGGCCCCGTGCAGCGGCGCTGGGAGGGATGAGCTGCCCAGTTACACAGCTCTTATGGGTGTCTCGTCTGGGTCCCAAAGGTTGGAGTATGAATGAACGGGAAGCACTGGGGAGAAGTTAGAGCTCAGGGCTCATGCACTCTTGACACGAGCAGAGGCTATCTTTCAGCTGGCTAGGAGGCAAGATTCTGGGGTGCTGTGAAGCGCCAGGAAAGATCGGCAGGCGTGTAAAGGGTTGTCGGGGGTTTGGGAGCCGCGGCCAGGAATGGGAGGCTGGGCTCACGAACAGAATGGCGTTCATTCGACAAGATCCACACCTGGCGGCGGTGGCGGCTTTTGTGTGACCTGCCCGAGGACTGGGAGGGAGGGAGGGAGGGATGGTGTCTCAGGTCCTGGTTGTGCTGCTAGAAATGTAAAGAGCTTTTTCGGTCCTGCTCCTTGCCTGGACGGCTTTCAGCACCCCGATCAGATGAGCCGGATGGCGCTGTCTTCCCCCCACCTCCCCCTCGGTCGCCCTGCCTTCTGCCGCTCTGTCACTGTGGCCGTGGCTGATGGGGCAGGGAACACTTGCTGTAGGACTTCAGCGGAGCAGCCGTAAGAATTCCTCCTCAAGCAATCGCCCAGTTGTGATTTAAGGTCTCGGAATGATCCAGAAGCATCTGGAAAGTAAAGCGAACTTGGCAAATCTCCTTCTCCTGTCATTTCAGTTCTATTTGAAGAAGTGCACAATAGGGGAAACCTTCCGAAAACTCATCAGCATTGTCTAAAGTTGATTTCCTCTGCCTTGCCTTTTCCTGGCAGGAGCTCTGGTTAATATAGAACATTTTGCATGTGTAATCGAAATGGACTGGGGCAAAGGCAGGCTTTGACAAAGAAGTGGGGGCAGTGGAAGCGTGAGGAGCAGTGTGGGATAGTGGTTAAAGCACCGAACGGAGTCGCTGGAGACTTGGGTTCAAGGCCTTACTGGAGGCAATGGACTGACGGGGTGGTGGAGGAGAAGAAAATGATCTGTTCACTGCCGTGGACTCGTTGGAGGAAACCCAGGATGCCAGTGTAAAAAACATGGAGGAGGTTCAACGTTACATTTTCCCAGTGATTCCAAAGCGTACATCCCATGAAAGCGATAGCAAACAGTTGCATCTTTTGCTCCTTCCTCTTTTACCCCAGTGCAAACCCAGGGCCCCTAATCTAGAATGGGACCCTACAGTGTGTGAGGAGACTTTAACCCTTTCTCCTCCCCACTGCAGTCCCAGTCTGGACTGGAGGTACTGCTGTTCTAATTCATCCTGCAAAATAGGGACATATTAAAGGAAGCGGATCGCCGTTTGGCATTACAAATTGCGGGAACGCTGGGGGCATGCATGGCAGCATTCTGGATTGGGACTGCGGCGGCGTGGGAGGCATGTGGTTCCCCCGTCCCTCATGCTAGGGTCCCGGTATGGACCAGGGGCCCTGCACTTACACTGCTTTAATTCGCAGGCTCTCTAATGCAGGTTCTGCTCAAGATCCTTACCCTTTTGCTCTCAACTGTGGGGCTCACCAGAACAGTAATAATCTGGAAGAGAAGGAACAAGTCCAAGGGTCTTGCCAGTGGGGCCTTGGCATGTTCCCAGCCATGCCCACCTTTGACGCCAACCCTGGCTTTGCTAGCCAGCTCCCGCCCCTTTCCGGGCAGAACTCTATTTTCTGTACCTTTTAAGACTACAAATCCCACAATCCAGCACAATTTTTTGTATTGTTATATTTAATGGTAATTTATTATGTACTATTGTATTTCAATGTATTTTATCATGTTGTAAGCCGCCCCGAGGTTTCGGCAAGGGGCGGCATAGAAATGTTATAATAATAATAATAATAATATAATAATAATAATAATAATAATTCAGCCAAGTCCACATGCATGAAAGTACCTGGGGACATTGACTGGAAGGAATATTTATCTCTCCGCTGTGCTGCCCCCTCCGCAAGCTGAAACCAAGAGCCCGGACAGATTTTTCCATGGAAAGTTGTCATGGCTCCACCAGAACTAATTTTGGAATGGCGCTTTTCTTGGGGGCGTTTTGCACTTTCCCCAGTCAAGGTACAGGAGCAGGAGAAAGGCAGTAACTGGAAAGAAGCAGTGGCAGAAATGTGAAGCGACAAAGAAGGACATTTGGTGGGTGTGCGGCTCCGTTCCCGCTTCTTGCAGCCCACACCTCCTCTGGGTGCCTCAGTGTTGCTCCTTGTTGCGCACGTTGTTCTGTGCGTAGCAATTCCCCGAGCCCTTTGTTAACAGCCACAACCACAACCACTGACATACCTGTGTTTGTCTTCTTCCAAACAGGGACAGAGAGGATACCTTGGCCCGTCTGGTCATCCTGGAGACCAGGTGAGTGCCTCGCTCTTAAACGTTCTGTCCTGAAAATGCCTTAAACCTCACGATGACCCTGCCAGGCTCGTGCAGCTGGAATCCCAGTGCTGGGGGTATTCTTCAGGTCCTTGGATCTGTGCACCCCACCGCTTAATTGCTATGCAGCGGGCAATTTTCGAGCTGCATTGCTCCCGGGAAGAGTTAATGCCCCTTCCTAAGCTTCAAGATACATGCACCAGCCCCAAAATCTTCCTCTTAACCTTCTTGGGATCATCAGAGCCGGCACGCAAATTAATAGCATTCTGTGCTTTATTTAAGAGGCATTTCATTGGCGCCGCCTTCTGCAAATTTCTGATAAATCCTAGGGATGCTATGCAAGTTTGCACTTACAAACCAGCATTTGCAGCTGCTGGCAGATTTGTTCCTTAAGGGCCAGTCCCCGGAAACTCAAGCGAGCGGCCCATGCCCTGGCGAGTGGCATCCGCAGGCATGCGTTGCTTGGCCCGGAAATCAGCTGAGCTAATTTCCCCCTAATCAGGAAATAGCTGGGCTGCTTTCCAGGCCCATCTGAGTGGCTTGCTGAAATGAATAGCTCCATTCATCGCGTGTGGAAGATGGAGGTTGCCATCCGACGCAGTCAGTCCCATTGAACCCAGTGGGACTGACTTCCGAGTAGACATTCCTAGGGTTGTGCTATTTGAAGAGGTGGCACTCTGGAAAGCAGGTGGTGGGAGGCGAGCAGGAGCCCACCAGGAAAGGACCGCTTGAGCCGCAGAATTAAAAAATCAAAAAAGCTTGTTTGGCTGCCTCTGGAGAGTCGCTGGAAGCCACGCTGGCACTTCCGATCCAGCAGTTGCCTCAGCGGACCGTGCCGCTCCCTTGATTTTGTGGAGATGCGCTGCTTCACACGTGGCAGAGCCGTGCGATGGCACTCCCTCCCGCATGCTCTAAGGGCGGCCACCCATTCGGGTGGCTTTCATGGGAGGGCACAAATTCACCGAGAAGGACTTGCCCGTGCGGTTCCCGTGGGTACCGTTCGGTAGTAACGGCTGAACTGGAGCGGAAGGAGCTTTTGGCCCTCCCGGTGTCACATCCGTTTGTCCACTGAGTGAGTGAGAACCCTGCAGTCCGATCCAGTGTGGCCCTCCTTATATCCCCCCATGTCTTTTTGTCCCGTTGCGTCTCCAAAGCCGGGTTGCAAATCTTCAAAGGACAACTTAGCTTCTCATCTTCTCTGGAAAGCCCCCTGCCCCCCACCCCTGCGCCAGGTCATAACCATGCTGAGGTCTACAACTTCAGGTTCAGGGATGGGGGACGGGGGCCTTCCAGAGGTTGGCAGTCTGTAATAGAGGCCGGTGGGGGATGATGGGAGTTGCTGCCCCCCTGAACAAATGCACTTTCCCCCTCCTCCTGGTGCAACCCTTTCTCCAGCCTGGTGCCTCCCGCACACTCAACATTTTGTAATGCAGTTCAAGAGGAACCCGAGCTGTTGCGACCTGCTCTGCCAAGGATTCTCCTCGAAGACTGATGCACGTCCTTAAAGGGGCGCCTCCCGTAGACTTTCCCCTGCGGGGCTCTGCTGAGGTTTCCAGGGGACAGAACAGCCAAGGGCTGCCCTGGACCAGGGAAGCTCCATTGGCAGGGCAGAATGACCAGTGCCGGCTAGAGCATGAGCGCATGTTCCCTTCCTAATGGGGCTGGGGAGCTCTCGAGAGCAATGGCGGCAATGCAGGCCATGAAAGCACATAAGGCGTCAGAGCCACATCCATGCTCTCCACCGGCGTTCCAGTCTGGTCCCCCCCCAGGGTCCCCCTCGATTCTGTTGCTGCTGCGCTCAGTTCCATGGACCCAACCAATCTAGCGTCCACGATGGGTGAAGCGTTTTCTAGTGTCTGCAGAATAGCTGTAATCACGTTCTTTCTCCGACTGTGCAGTTACCTTTCAGCTGGAGTGGACTGAATGCCTTCTTAACAAGCAAGGCTATAATTCAACTTTCTCCTACGCTCACTTCACCCCCCTTTTCTGTTTGAATAAGTGTGATGTTTACTGGGCGTGTGCGCATGTGGTTCCCCCCCCCCTTTTTAAACCAACACCCAATGAATAGCAGAGCTTGTTAAGGCTGCCATGAAAGAATATTATACATGAATTTGCTAGAGCTGAAAAGTAGCTGAAGCTTGCACAGGGGGTTCTGCATGCAACAAGCATTTTATTGCTTTATTTAATACAAGGGTTGGCTATTGGGTGGTACAGAATGCATAAATAGATAAATCGGGGGGGGGGCATATTGGCCCCAATGGGGTGGTCACATTGTGGACAAGATTTGATAGGGGGAGACACGACCCCCTCCCCCAGCTCACACATCTTTGGGGGGTGGAGGGAAGTGTCTATGTTCACTTCCCAGCAGTCCCTGCACTGCAGGATTTTGGGGTGGGGGACATGAGGTGAAAGACGCTCTGTCATTCCCTGCCCCCCTGCCCCAGGGCTCTTGCTCTGCCACAGCAAAGAGATCTGGATCCACGTAGCGACGTGAAAAGGTGTGACTTCACTGCCTCGGTTCAGCCTTTTAAAATCCAGTCTGATTTTGATGTTCCAGGCAACCTGCGCTGTTACCTGAGAGGCCGAAATGACACTGACCATGTGCAGAAGGCCTGGGGCAGTCACCAGGTTTTGCAGAAGTGCATGCGATCATTAGGGAAAAGGAAACCTTGAAGGATGTTAGGAAAAAGAAAACTCTTGCTCTTCCAGAAATAAACCAAAAGGAATGGCAATTCCCTGGGGAAGGGGGTGCTGGGAAAAGAAAGGCCCGCAGGTGGAGGGAGACCAAAGGAGCGACTGGGCTGATCAGTGCCCTGAGCTGCTTCCGTGGCTCCCTTGCCCTTTCATCCCAGCTTTTGGGCCAAGGAAGCTGGATGAAAGGGCATTGTCACAGGCCCCGATACATCTTGCAACCAGACTGAATTCTTCCCACTTCTCCCTCCCCTTCCCCATTTCTCTTTTTTGGCAGGGTGAACGAGGGCTCGACGGAAACCCGGGTGCCAAAGGTTATCCTGGCAGGCAGGTGCAGTAAATCTTACCGTGCTGTGCAGCACAGGGATGGGGGGCGGGGGGCAGGCAGGTAGAGGATGACTGCGTCCCTCAGTCCCAGTCGATTTGGGCCCACTCCCACTGGGCTTGCACTGCCTCTATTCCTCGCATGCAGAAAGGCAGCCTCTCAGGGAGAATGCTCCTGAAATGCTCTTTGTTTTATGTTTGGGGAAATATATTCAGGAAAAGGTTCGCCTCCTGGGTAGGGCTGAGGGTGGAGAGACATCCGCTGAGCACAAAGAGAGCTTCCCTGGCCAAATCCTTTCCTCTTCTCTGCCCTGTGCTGCAGAGGTCTGTGGGAAGCGAACTGAGTGTGTGTGTGTGTGTGAAAGAGAGAGAGAGAGAGAGAGAGAGAGAGAGAGAGAGAGAGAGAGAAGATTCCCAGGGCACAGCTGCTTGTCCAGCTGAGCTGCAGCCCCTCCAAGATGCGCTTCTGCTGTGGGGCAGCTGCAGTTAAGTCAGACTGCCCTGCCCGTGTGTCCATGCGATGCTGGGTCAGGCGCTCAGCCAGCCCCCATGAATTCGGAGGTGGCCACCCTAACTCTGAGAATTGCCCCTATGGGGCCAGCTTGACATCCTTACAAGCAAGGGGTCCAGCTCTGTTCACACACAGAGGGAGAGTCCTGTTAGATCAGAGGAAAAAATCCATCCCAGACCAGCATACTGTCCCCAGCCGTGGCCAGCCAGATTCTGGCCGAGTCAAGCTTAGGTAGCTGCCGAGAGTAAGGTCCAGGAGCTGCAAGCTGGGAACACTGGATGCCGGTGGCACCTGGGCAAAACCTCAGCTGTGGTGGGAAGTCCTTTCATAGTTCTTCTGGGTTGGTGAGAGGGAACCAATACAGTGGGTGGGGCACCCCAGACCTGGGAACATCTTGCTGCCCACGGAAGGCTTCTGGTCTGCTGGCTTAACCATGTGGAACAGCAGCAAGAAGCTCTGGGTATTCCTGCCTTCTTCCATGCTCCCCTGAGGCTGGCTAGGGAAACTTGATAGCAAGACTGAAGCAGGAAGTCAGGTCAAGACAGGAAGAAAGCAGGACCTTGGATAGCTCCTGAAGGACAACAGGAGGGTGTTGTCTCAGCAGGGAATGGACGCCAAGAAAAGTTTCTTAGGTAGGTTGACAAGATCTGCAGTGTGGTCAGGTCTGCCTCTGCTGGAGGAGGTGCCTGATAGGATCGCCTGAGCCTTCTGCAAGCCTGGGGGAGACAGAGGCTGCTCCTCAGAGCCAGAGGATGATGGGAGGGCTGTGTCCAGTGGCCAGCAGGGCCCGGGATAAGGCACTGATTGCTCTGCTCACGAAAGGCAGCCCATGCCTTGTCCACACTGAACTCTTTTGCACCCTGGAAGGGTCGGGGGCTGGAGTTCACTACTTTTCCTGGCTTTAGCCCCAACACCTCTTAAGATTCCCAACTTGGGTGTGAAACTAGCGGCTCTCCCGCATGGCTTGGCCACAGCAGCTGGTTTTCCGAAGTAAGCTGAAGGCTGTTGTTGGACCCAACCTGTGCCAGTCGTCAGCTGGGGGGGTCTTACCAGAATGTCTTCTTCTGGCCCACATTGCTGGGCTGACTTCACTCCAGGGCAGGTGGTACCAGGGCATCTAAAATCGCTAAGGTACTACGAAGAAGCATATTACTTGGTGCCGGTTTCTGGGGAACATGCGCAGGTGAGTGCTGCTGTGCTCATGTCCTGCTTGTGGGCTTCCCATTTGGGGTCTGGTTGGCCCCTGAAAGAAGGCAAGGCTGGACTGGATACATCTTTGGTTTGATCCCGTATGGGTCACCCTTTGCTCCTAAACTCGGGAATTTGACTACCATGAGCTGCAGCGATAACCACCAGCTTAGATGGCTGGAAAAGGGAGGTAGCTAAATTGATGGAGGAGAACGCAGCTATTCATGGATTCCCTCCAGGATCAGAGGAAGCATGCCCCTACAGCCCAGTTGCTGGGGACATGAGCAGGCAGGTGCTTGTGCACTGTTGCTTCAGTGCTTCCTGTTGGGGCATCGAGTTGGCCTCTGTGGGAACAAAAGGCTGGATTTGAAAGGCTGGATTTTCCACACACCCAGCCTGGCTTTTCTTGTAGCTCTCAGTCGCCTACCGGTGAACACCACTGCTTTTTCCCCATCTCCTCAGTCAAGCTGCTCACTCTGCATGTGTGTGCTCAGGACATTATATTCTGACGTGACTGCATCTTTTTAATTCAGCACAGTCCACTGGGGCTGATCTTGAACAGACATGGAATAATTCCCATCTCTGTTGGACATACAAATTTCTGCATAGTCATCACCCACAAAAATTAGTCTGCTGTGCTTTCAGATGATGGTGGTGATTATTATCATTATCCCCTGCCCCCCGCCCCCCTGGACATTCCTTTCTAGCTATCTGTTGGACCAGCTCCCACATCACAGTGGAGCCTCCATTTTGGCACTGTTTGCAGAAAGTTGTAAGCGATAGCATCTTCACATTTATCTGTCTTTTGTTTGTTCTTCTTCTCTTGTGTTTCAGGGCCTACCTGGACCGATAGGGGAACCTGGTCCAAAGGGAAGCCGGGTAAGTAAGAGAGAGTTCCTCGCCTTGCCATTTTCCACCGCCGCTCACATTTCTGTTGACCTCAAAGGCCTCACTGGACGCTACTTTTTAAAATGGGGTGGGGGGGGAGGGCAGGGGGCAGAATTCTTACCAGTCCAACCATATTTCTCCTCCAGGTCACTTCTCTCCCCTCACTTTGCTTTCCAAAGTGCTTTTCAGCTATGGGTTTGTTGACATCTGCTTTCCTTTTGTACAAACACACACAAAATCTTGCACTGTGAGTGGGAAGTAGCTATGGGGTTTCTGATAATATGGCGCAGAGAAGCAGATGGCAGCAAAAGGGTTAAAACCCTCCCACTTGTTGGTTCAAACACGCTGTGTCCCAAAACTGCTTTCCTTCAGAAAAAAGCACCCGTATGCAGATACCATGAGGCTGGTTTCCTAAATTACTTGTGGCTGATGGGCAACTGAGTGTGTGTGTTTTGGCCATAATACGAGGAGCAAGTTTCTAGGTCTCACAGAAGCACAGAGAAATGTGAAGAGGGCAAAGGCAGCACGAGAGAAATTCACAAGCTGTTTCTGAATGTATCTATTACTCAGGGGAAAACGTTTGCCCAAATTGTTCCTTTTATCATCACAACACCCCTACGAGGTAGGTCAGTCTGCAGCTGAGTGGAGGCTTGAACCTAGTCGCAGCTCAAGGCTCAAGCCACAGCACCGGCAGGCAGGGCTTGTCCTTCGGGCCAAAGGATCGCCTCCTCCTTCACAGCGCTGCTTCTCAGTCCAGCCGGCCAACCAGCGCCAAGGAACAGCTGGGATGGACCTGTGTGTCTGGCCTCAGAGACCACAGAGGAAAATTCCCTTGCCTTCCTGGAAATGGACATTCTGTGGCCGGCCCTACATAGGATCTATTTTGGGGTGCCCCCATGGCATCCCCGCAAAGTTCCCGATGTGCCCAGCACCCCAGCACGGGGGAGGAAGCTGGTGCCAGGGCCACTGGCAGCCTGGGCTCTGCAGGGCAGGGATGGCTTGTCAGAAAACATGCCAGCAATTTAGGGATCTCCCCAGCACAAGACGGAGCACCGGATTCAGCTTGGCCTCCACGTGGGGCCGAGTGAGAAGCCAGGATGCTGAGGGGCTCGGAGGGACTGTGCATCTTCCGGCTGCTCAGGGAGACTCCGTTCCAGAATATTTCTCTCCCCAAGGAGAAAGGCGCCCTTCCGGGGAGAAAGCGTTTGCTCCCGGCTATCCGAACGGGAGCCTCCGTTATTCTAGGACCGGAAACTGCAGAGGACCTGCCACTGAGGGAAAACGGCACAGAGGCAGCGGAAGTCTGGTTGCTTTTCAGAGCAATTTGGTGCGGCTCTCTTGGGCTCCAGAGGCCAGTCCGAACGGACACTCGAGTCTGCTCCTGCAGGGCTTTGAAAACAGCCTGCCTGGCGGAGGGTTGCCTGCCTCACCCCTTCCTAGTGGCGGAGGGTTGCCTGCATTGCCCCTTCCTAGCGGCAAGCTCTCATCTCAAAGCCACACGGGCCAGTTGCAGTGGCCACATCCCCGCTTGGGTGGGGTTGCCTAGCTGAGCGCTGAGGTTTCTTGAGGCGCACAGCCGGGCTGCCGCCGCCGCCGAGATCCCACCCCACCTCTTCTTGAGGGAGCCTGGAAGACGAGCTGCAGCTTCACCGCCTCCTGCTCTCCGACTGTAATTAGAGATGGCCAGGCAGGGAGCTCACTGAGCGCACCTTCTTCCCCTGGGAGCTCTAAGTGCTCCCAGCTGCCTCCCGTCCCAGGAAACGGCAAGCCATAAGCAAGAGTTGCCTCTCTCTCCGGTTCTCATCCTTGCACAGGGGGAGACAGTGGGGTGCCTGAGGGAAAAGGGGCTGATCGGGCTTTGGCATCCTGGAAAGCAAGCCCATCCCCATAGCTGCTCTTTCTGAGTCGAATGGAGAAAGAACAGAGTGAGAAACACACATTTTTCCAAACGTGAAGTGGTGTGACTGTGGTTACTCAGTGGCGATGTGAGTTTGTGCATGCTCAGGGGTACTCTTGGCATTCATTGATCACTCCTGAGAGCAAATAAAGTTGCTGAGGGATGTCTGGAGCTAAGACAGCGAGGAAGGGGATCTGTGTCTTCCTGGAACCAACATTCCCTCCGTGGGAAAACTCTGCAACATCTTGGTGCAGATCTTTCTTTCTGTTGTAGCATGTTTGTTATATTATTGTTCATATACATTTCTCCTGCAGTGGGGCCTGTCGAAGCACATAAACAGGGCTTTGGGTGTAGAGTTTTAAAGAAGGGGCTTGAAAAAAGAAAAAAGAGATTTGAATTGGGCCCAGGAACAAACGGGTAGCCAGCACTGATGTTTCGAAATGGGTGTTCATAGGCACGTGAGGGGGGTGTCACACGGAGGTGGGCAGAGACCTGTTCTCCCTGCAGAGGCAGGCAGGATGCGCTCCAACGGAGCAACGCTCAGGAGCCAAGGATCCATTTGGATGCCAGGAAGCACTTCCTGACGGTTGGGACCCCCAGGGTGTGGAATGGGCTTCTACGAGAGGTCGTGGAGGCCCCATTGGTGAGGGTGTTCAAGGATAGGCTGGACGTGCACATGGTGGGCATGTCCTGAGCGGAGCCGGCTGGAGCCGGGGGGTCAGACTACATGGCCCCAGAGACTCCTCCTGCCTCACTCAGTCCTGGCCTCAATCCATGTGTGTCAGCAGCTCTGCATTCTGCACTCGCTGAAGCTTCTGGGCCTTCTGCAGGGACAGCCCCGTTCACAGATGGCTACAAGCTTCTGCAGCCGCCTCGTCTGCAGAGGTGGGCCTTTCCTCCCACAGTCGCGATCCAGAGAGGGGCCTGGGGTTGTTGTGATGGGAGCAGAGAGCGTGCAGACTGGCTGGCAAGTGCAGAAAAAGGCGAGCCGAGAATCCGGCAGGACAATTGGGTTTGGAAGGAGCCACGCGGTTTGGTGTGAGAGGAAGGATCACCTTTCAACTAGGATTGTGGTGCAGAGAGAGGAGAAAGTTTAGGCCTCCTGGCCCGTATTCCCACGGAGTTCGGTGTCGGGTTAAGGGATACACCTCTTGCCTGTGCTGTGAAAAGGTCTTTTCCCGATTCACTCCACAGCTCCCTCTTCTCCAACCTGCAGCCCTCCTGGCTGGTGGCCTGTGGGAACCTGGCGGGGCCGTGGCTTGCCGAGCGCCGCAGCGGCCGCGGATTCTCGGTGTCTCTGATGTCTGCAGATACATTTCTTCCCCGGCCAGGTGGTGAAGCAGGTGCTGCCCGCGGCAACGTCGCCCTGTCCGGCTAACCTGGACCCGAGCTCGGTTTCCTCCCAGGTGCACCCCGAGCCGGCCGAGGTCAGCGCCCCGCTGGCCGCGCCTTCCTCCCGGAGTCCTCGCTCGCGATCCCTGGCGTGAGGGTATGTGCCCTTGGACTACATCGTGGAAGGCAGCACCATGCAGTCCATGGGCATATACACTTGCTTCAAGGTTTAGCTCGTCACGGCTGCCCCGGAGCCAGCGCTGGAGAACGCTCAGCTTGTTCCAGAGGACGGGACCCCCATGCCTCGCCCCGTCCCGCCACTTCAGAGGGGACAAACACTCTTTGCTCTCTCTCTCCTTCGCAGGGATACATCGGCTCTCCAGGATTGTTCGGGCTGCCAGGAGCTGATGGAGAACGAGTGAGTATTCCGGCAGGACGGAACCGTCCCACCGTTGTCTTCCTCGCTCCTCTTTGGCCGGTGTCGGTCCTGTGGGGGCTTGGCTTTCTCCTCTTTGTGCAGCGATAGGGCCTGCCTTGCCGCCTGGAGGCCAAATTCCCCAGGGCCGAAAGCAGTGCACGAAAGAGGGGTGGGGAATGGCGCCCCCGATACCAGCATTCAGACTGAAAGTCGCTCCGCTTCGGGGAAGCTCTTCGGCTTCTTGAATGGCGGGCAAGCGAGGTGCAGGCAAGCTGGGAAATGGCCAGATGATTGTGGGAAATAGAGTGTGGCTGCCCGGCCAATTGGTCCGCAAGTAAATTCCCACCCAGACCTCGTTGTTTATCCTGTTTTCTCAGCCACAAAGCGACCAAAGACGAGCAAACGACCCTTTGCTTGTCGGATTCAGACTCTCCTGAATATGGTCTGTGCACTTGTGTGCAGGCAGGTGGGTGAGTGGGTAGAATTGTCCGACCTGGCCAGGAAATGATTTTTGCATTTATTATATTGCCGTCAGTCTTGAGCTTTCTTGCCTAGAGCTGAGAAAGCAAGTGAGATCAATCTGAGCCGTGGCAGAGGAGGGAGAGTTTGCTTGCACAGCGCTTTAAGCAAAATCCGGCAAGAAACATTCACAGCCCGCAAGCACCCATTTCCAGAGTGAAAGCAAGGCTTTTGGCCCCAGGAAAGTATGAAAGGGCCCTGTTTGGGGCAGGCAGAAGCAGCCAGCAAGCTAAGCTCGGCAACATCTAAATTTGCGAGAGTACTTCTTTTGCACTGAAGAAGAGTCGAGGGAGCTCCAGAACATTTTAGAATGAAAGTTTGGATGAATTATCTCATCTTCTCCTCCCCATTCCCAGGTGGCACAGTCGGGGGGGGGGGTGGTGGTGAAGGTCCCCAGGGATGGAGCCTGGCTCAACCACTGCCCCCCGCCCCCCGGCATGGAGCCCACCTCAATCCCCATAGCGTAATCTCAGCGATGATGCGAGAAGAACTTCTAGGTTAAATAAATAAAGATTAAAAGTCCGCCCTGGAGGAGCTTGCATGGGCCCATATCCCCCATTCTGCCATCACAACAACCTTGTGAGGTGGGTCAGGCTGGGACCAGAGGAGGCACCAGGCGTTTTTGGCTGCAGCTGCCCTAAGTCCCCACCAACAAGGCAAACTCTCATTTGTGCTCTAGCGTGTCGTAGTCCAAGACTCCCAGAGGGCACCTGTTGCTTGCTTATTCCTGAGATCTCCCAGTAAGCTTTTTGGCCCTTCCAGGGACCTGAACCCAGCTCTCCCCTTCTCTAGCCCAGCATCCCCTCTCCAGAAAAACATGCTCAAATGGGTCTGTTCTGCTCTGGGCCATCGGCACGTCCAAAACTTCAGCAAGACGAGAGAGAGAGAGAGAGAGAGAGAGAGAGAGATCCTGCTTGTGCCTTTAAGAAATTTGCTAATGCTTCAGAGCACTGATTTAATGCTTGTGTAACCAAATCAGAAACATAAACAGAAGGTTCTCTAGCGAGCGCCTTGGCAGCCGACTTCATTTGGTTCCAGACCAGTAGCTTGATTTTTCCTCCTGCTAAGCTCAGCCTCCGCTTCCTGGCCCTGGCCGGGACCACTGGCCTGTGTGTGCACACGCATGCGTTGGTGCGCTTGCGAGCCTCAGCAGGAAGGGTTCGGGCGAGAAGGCCGTGCCGAACCAATTTCCTGCTTTGCTTTTCTCTCGCTGCTGACAGTAAGCCATTGACATTTTGGCCCGTGCGGTTTTTCCTTTTAATTTCCCATTTTGTTTTGCTCCGTTCGTCCCCCCTCCTTCCAGCCTCCGCAAGACTTTAACACTCATTCCTTGTCCCTCTTTCTGTTTCTTTTGCAGGGGGTCTCCGGAGTGCCTGGGAAGAGGGGCGAGATGGGTAGGCCGGTAAAGTTTTTCCTCCGTCTATTATGCAGACTTTGTTCAAAGTAAAAATTGTGGGTGCGTGGGTGGGTGGGTGCTTGGGGAAAGGTTGGAGGTGGGCATCTTGCTTGGCTGTGTGTGTCCGACGGCACGAGGGCACATAAAATGGTAAACGGTTGGTTTGGAAAGGCACTGCTTCTGCTCCTGTGTCCCTGGTATTCCTGATTCATCCTTTCTTTGTTTTCTGAGGTGAAGGCCATTGGTTTTTAAGCTCGTTCTACCATGCACATCTCAGCAGCTTCTGGAGCAGCTGAGACGTGTTCACACCCTTGCACTTTGAATGCCCAGTGGTAGCGGGCTAAATTTGCGCAGTTTTTCTTCCGTGGTGCACCCTGAGCTGCGGATGCGTTAGCGAAGTCTGCCCTTCCGTGCTTGGCTCTCTGTCACGTTCCTGGTGAAACCAAAGACAAAAGTGAGGACAGAAGAGCCTAGGATTCCAGGCTCTCTTGTCCTTCTCACGGCCTTATAGAAATCGGGGTGCGGCCACGCTGGGAATACTGTGCTCAGTTCTGGTCGCCTAACCTGAAAATAGTCCGTACTGAGTTTGAAACAGGATAGAGAAGGGCAACGGAAATGATCAGAGGGCTGAAGTGGCTCCCAAAAAGGGCTGATTGGCTTGCAAGAAAGGCAAGGAAGGGGAGACAGGAGAGAGGTGTTTATAATAATGCATGGTGTGGAGAAGAGGGGAGAAAATTTTCCCCTTTGAACCCGGGGTCATCCATGAAGCTGGTGGGTGGGAAGCTGAGGACAGCTCAAAGGAAGTCCTTCTTCACACGGTGTGTCCTGAAACACTGGAATTGGCTGCCACGGGAGGTGGCGATGGCCACGCATCTGAGAGTACGCGAAGTGACGTTTCTGCATTCAGCCATGGCGCCCAGGGCTGAAGAAGGATTCCTCTGCCCAGCTTTTTTGCATGGTATGGTCGGGGCAGCAAAGAGTCTCAGGCTGGCCCTCTCCTGGCAGTAAACACCGTTCCTTACGTGCTCAATGCTCTCTGGAATAAAAAAGGACCAGGGGTGGGAATGAAGGAGAAACCGCCATCTGCTAGAGTGACTGACCCACCGGTTTTAGCAGCGGGTTCTCAAGAGCAGAACCGTAGAGACAGGAACAAAATGAGAAAGGAATAAGTTTACTTCTGACTTAAAAGTAAACTGAACAAAGCCACTGTTGTTGACTGCAGCAGGGTTTTGAAGTTGGAAAACTTCTTTTCTGCTTCCCATCCTCCTTGTATAGCAGCATTTTATCTTGCAAATGAGCTCTCCCAGCCCCCGTGCCCCAGGGGACGCTGGGGTTCTCTTTTATAGAAGTCAGGATTTTCCTCCTCCTCTTTTGATTTCCACTGTCCAGCCAGACATGCAGCATACAAGCAGTCGTTGCAAATATTTTAAATAGATGCAGCTCATTTCAGTAGCACAGCTACAGCCCAGTCCAACATTTTGGACAGTTTTGCTTTCTCCCGTGTATCCAGCTTAAAGGCAACCCCAGTGAAAATAATAAAATGCAAAATAAATATTCAGGGAGGTAGACATGCGAAGTTTGTGGATGGGTAGAAACAATCACCAGGCTTGCCTTAATTGTGGACTGTGTGGTCAGGACTGGATTTATTTTGCTTTCGTTGTATTCATTTGCTTGACTATATTTAAAAGTGAGACAAAGTCTATTAATGTTGCATTGTATGTCAAAAATAAATACTCCAATTGAGCCATGAAAACTCAGGGATGATCCCATGAATATGGGAATGCAGAACCCCTGGGTGTCAGGTGTTTGACTTGCCCTCTCCTCCTCCATATCCCTCAACCATTGTGGCTGGGCTGATGGGAGTTGTAGTAGAGCAACATCTGTGGATACAAGAATCACAGGATTTTACCCAGTATAAAATGAAATTTTATAAAATTTATAAAATTTTAAATTTATAAAAAATTATAAAATTTTATAATATATATTATATTATATATAATAAATTTTATATATAAATTTATAAAAAATTATAAAAATTTAATAAAAATTATAAAATATAAAATTGGATGAACTGCACAAAGGTCGACATTAAGGCTAAATCATACTTATAAGAACTCTGCTTGATTGGATTGGTAACCTGTCAAACCCAGGCATGTGGCACGAATCCAGATTTGCTTGTATCTCGGCCTCGTTCCATGTGGACCGTGGCCCTTTGGGTGAACTATACCTACTTTCTGGCCCCACGAGTGCCAGCATGCATACCCTGAGGAACCAGGAAAAAATAGTCCGGCCCTGCTTTAATCCTCCATTCACACAACCATATGCCTCCAGGAGCTCAGGGCTGCATAAAGGCTTTGGCCTTTGCTGCCAGCTCCTTCGGCAACCCACGTCCACACAGAGCAGGAGCGAGCAACTCATGGGCCCCCCAGATGGTTTGGCCCACAGCGCCCCACAAGCAGGCTGCGAAATGCTTCCCAAGAAGCACATGGACGTTTCAAATCCACTCCGTTGCGTCTTCAGCTAAAAAACTATCGGGTAGCAGATGTGGACAAGCCTTCTCCTTTGCTGGAATCCCTCGAGACCTTCAGGAGCACCAGCAAGTAAAGCAAAAACGATCCTCGGTAAAAGAAAAGCGAGCCATTCACAATGCCCTTCTGTAGCACCGCTGTTGCATCTTCCAGGAGATACATCATCGGACTTCACCGGGAGCCTTTCTAGAGCAGAGCTGCCCAGGTCTGTGGATCAGTGCTGCATCGGTTCTCCAGGGCTTCTGAAACCTTCCTGAGTGTCTGTCTCCCCTCCCCGCTCATCTCTCTCTGTAAATGGAACAATGCAAACAGAGGCGAAGGGAGGACTCCAAGTCAGTTGTTGATACATCCCCAACTCGTGATTGCTATAAAGTCTCGATAGATGGAGCAGCGGGATCTTCGTTGGCCACATTGTGTGGGCCTTCTGGAATGATGTAAGAATGTGAAAAAGGATTAAAATAGAAACACTGGCCATGAGTCAGAGGTTGAACCCTTTCCAGGGGTGTTCAGCTCAGCAGGGACCAGAAGAACATAATGAGTCGGTCTTGGATATGGCCTTTCAGCAAGATGTCCCTCCCTGCCTCCTACTCTGCTCCTTTCTTTCCCGACACATCGGGCATGCAGAACGGAGTGGGCGCACGCTAATTCCTGGGTGGTGGTGACCGTGGCAACGCGTTTGTGAGAATATCATTTATTTTCTCCTTCCACACAGTGGGAAAGCCCGTGGGTTCCTTTCAGCTTCCTTTGGGTAGCCTGAGTGTCTTGCGGTGTATTTTTATACAATATCAACCGCAGAGCATCATCTCACAACTCCCCGGCCATCCAACTGAAAACCGCACCATTAAAAATCCCCGTCCTCAGGGGTCAGATTAGGAAAGGGGCTCGAAAGACACAATTGGCACAATTGCTGTCGATCCAAAACCCAAGGAACACGAGAGGTCTTATTCCCAAACCAAACCAGAGAGCTCAGTTTTGGTTTCTGTTAGCAGTTAGTCCTGTGCAAATATAGACAGAAAAAGGCCTCTAACTCCCAGCATCCTCCAGCCAGCGCTGCCCCTTCTATTTTTTGCTTCCTTCCAGTCTTAAGTTTGGCTTTTCTTGAAGGCCGGGAAATAATAATGCAAACAATAGTTATGGTAAAACTGCACACAATTTAATGCACATTTAATGTTCTAGGAATGCAGTTGTGCCTAGTGAACACACAACTGCATGCAATTTCGTGGACACACTGCTTGTGATTTTCACTGCAAGCTGCACTGGTGTGTGCATGTTTCCTTAATATGCAAGGTTTGGTGGCTGACAAATGCTATGGCAAAATATGTGGATTTTGAAGGACACCCGAATTTTGGTTTGCCTATTGGTGCAAAAGAACGACTTTAGGTAATGCGAAGGGAGTGGATTCTTCTGCATTCCTTGGCCACACCTGATGTGTGGATGTGAGACTAATTATGCAGTCTTATGGAAATCAGGGTCTCATGAAGACCCTCTAAATGATAAGACCTAAAGAAACCCATGGATACCTTTCTTTGCTTCTGAAACACTAACAAGTAAATAGGGGCTTAAAGGCAGCAAATGCATGCATGGCTTTCCCAGGTGACATTTCTGGATCAGCAGACGAGCCAACGATGACAATGAAGGAGGAGGTGACTCTGGAAAGGGCAGGGTGAGAATGTGAGGAACGGCCAGCCACTGCTGTTTATTGTATCTCTGCAATCCTATCATTATTATTTTTATTGATCAATCGATTTTATTTCTATTTTGCCCAGTAGCCAACGCTCCCTGGGCAATTCACAACACTTCATAAAATACAGCACACGGATACAATAAAAATTGCATAAATGCAATTTTATTAAGCGTACTCATGCAAGATAGCCTTGTTGTGGAGGTATTTGAGGGCAGCGTGCAACGCAGTGGGCAAGGGATTCGCCGCTGGTGGAGTTTAGACGCTTTAGAATGGATTTGTTCATCTGGATCGAGCCAGCAGCCTGCAGTTTTGCACTCTCTTTGGGGTGTGGCTACGGGAAATGCTGCGGCAGGTGCAAGCCCTTCCAAACTTGCCACCACTCCCCTGGCTGAACCAATTTTGTCTGGATTGGCGCTCATTTTTCTGCTTTTGTGATCAGCTAAGCTGCACAGGTAGATGCAGGATTTGTGTTCAGTGCCACTGCCCATGAAAGGGAACAGCACTGCTGTGCCAAGATGCCAACTTGTCTCTGACTTAGGGCGACCCTATGAACGAATGCCGTTCAAAATATCCTGTTCTTGCAAACTCAGCTCTGGCTTCCTTTATGGGATGGATCCATCTCCTATTTGGTCTTCCTCCTCCTGCTTTCAACTTTCTGTAGCATTAGGGGCTTCTCCAGGGAGTCTTGCCTTCTCCTTATGTGCCTGAAGTATGAAAGCTTCAGTTTTGTCATCTTTGCTTCTAGGGAAGGTTCTGGCTTGATTGGATCTAGAACCCACCTGCTTGGCATTCTG